AATATCCTGCTGAAAATTTTCCGATTCATTTCAGGATAAATCTGACAATCAATAACTTGCTTTCCATTCTTTTTTGTCATTTCTTTATGCTTCCATTAAATTTGAGGCAAAATGAATTTAAAATAGGTTTTTTTTTAAATTACGTTTTTATTTGCTTCGATTCGGGCCTCGTGAGGGTAAAGACAATTCTCAATAGAAGTCGTTGCGGGCTGGCACCACACATCGGTTTATGTGGATCCGACCGGAGAAAAGGTGCGGTTAATTAACGGAACGTGATATATCCCTTAACGGATCGTAATTTTTCTGCTAATATTAACATAAGCAAGCTGGTAATTAATATATGACAAACAGACTCGATCGTCCGACGGGAGGACGGATTTGAACAAACAAGTGCGAATCGCGTTGTTGCGACAGAAATGAAGTCAACTCTAATTCTTTTGTGTGAAGTGAAGTGGAAACTTGATTGAAACGGAATTGTAATGTACTTGTGCTCGGAATTAAGTTGGATCTTACGGTTTATTGTCTTGGAGAAATGCTGATTGCAGCTAAAAGGTGTGCACCCCTTTCTCTCCTATGGTACCTTAATTGGTTATAATAGAAAGTATTGATTTTCCTCGCTCTTCACTCACCACTGACAGAATTACGTCAAATCGGCATATAAATTTCATCTCGTGTTCGGCGTAACTCAATCTAGTGTTTTATTCAGCTAAAATCTATTCCCACAATCGAATTGAATCTGAAGCAATTATAGTTGAGTGTTTCTCTATAACTTGAGCTCAATTGGGCACGGAAAATGTCAACATTACCCAATTTGACTCTGTTTAACGATTAATTTGAGAAGATAATGAATCGTTATCTAACAACATGGTGAATTGATTATTGGAATAAACACCGGTAGCTCGTGCGCTTGATTTATTAAAACGGCGAGCGAACTCCCTTCCAGATACAGCGCGACTCAATAATTTAGATTTATTAAGATTCGAGGAAATACAGGAAAAATGAAATTTTAAAGGTGAAGTGGAAGTCGGCTTGTTTTAATACACGTCAAATAAATCTCGAGATGGCGATATTACCCGGGAAAATGCTAGGATGAGGCCTAATAATCTAATAAGAAGAAATGTTCAATTCACTTTACCATGTTACCAAACAACTTTTAGTAATTACGCTAAGCTAATTCTATTAAGGATGAGGTTTTAGGAAGTTTACCTAATCCTTGAGAAACGTCAAATGACGAGCTTTCTCCATAATTATTAGATTAAATGTCGCGAATTCAGACATAGACGGCGTTTTTCGCTTTATTAATACGGTCGAGTTTGATTCTGACAGCGGTGTAGATCTTCATTAAAACAAGCCTCGCCTGAGCTTTACAATACAAAATAGGTCATACGAATGATGCAGCGTGCATGCACCGTTTGCTGAAAAGCTAACTTGTCCAAACCATATTAACGAATAAATCACGTCCTGACGTCCACAAATATTTTTCCATTTCACTAAATCTAATTCACCCCTAAAAGACCGATTCGTTCAAACCGTGCTGAAAACGAAAGTAGACTTTATTCTATCGAAATATACACATACGCGATATGTTTAATATTGCAGATATCGACGACAGGTTTTGCGGATTTATCAAAGTACTTGACTGCATGAATCATCGCTGGTATTTCTAAAAATCCGGAAATTCGGTATGTGTGTTGAAAGTGATATTAATCTGTTGTAAAACACTGTGGGTAGGAACGTTATATAAATAAATAGCGCTCGATGAGCTCTTTCAACTTGTAGATGGTGTCACGCAAGGCCCCAATCTTGAACCACTGTTATTACATAAACAAATTTTAATAAACGAAATCGGTAACAAAGAAATACCGTAAGAAAAGTCGATCATTCCAACAAAATTTAACGTATTCGAACTACCTTGGAGCTAGCTCCGCTTTGGAAGGCCGTTTTTTGATATTTATAACCCCAGATTCTAAATCTAAATCTGAAGCTAGCAACATTTAACTGAAATATATTTGATTGTCAAGACTATAAATGAGAGCTGACTATGGTTTTAGGGTGCTATTATATACATTTATCGATTTTATGCTACGTGTTGATGACAAAACTGAGACAAAGAGAGAAGTTAGTATTATTTCTGTACACTTAAGTTCGTTTCTGCGCACCCTCTTTCAAATTTGGCGTCAAATTAAAAAAACACACGAAATGTCAAAACTACATATGTAAATCACTCAGCTGTTAATCGCATGTCGAACTAGACACGAGAACACCGAAACCACTGATCGCCGATAAAAATGAAATGACATGTTGTTTCCATGTCATTACCATAATTTTTGCAATATAATACAACGTTACACTGACTTTTGACATTCTGTTGTGCGTTGTAGGTCATCTTGCGTGATTATTTCAAGATAAATACTGAAACGATGAATTAGTTACGAAGATCAATGCTGACTTAGTGATATATCGTGATTTGATTTGTTTTGTGAGAGAATACTTTGTCCCGAACATAAAGTGTTTCGACGACTGCGGGAAGCTTAATCAACGAAGGAACGTGAAATATCAAAGTATCGCTGTTTAAAGTTTGATGTGCTCTCGTCTCGGATACGTTTTCGCTCCAACTTTCGGCGTTCGCTAAATTTTCATTACGAAACTATCAAATCTGAAAGTTACTAAGTTTGACAGGACTTTGACAGTCCTTGTAAGCGGATGGCGCTATCCGGGGGAATCGTTTGTGGCCTGGATTTAGATCCCTGAAGTTTTCAAGTCGATGTATCATTCGGATGTGGTCAAAATGGCAATGCGCTGGCTAAGTGATAGAAGTAGTAAAAAACTTAGGTTTCATAGTTCCTAAAATATGAAAAAGTAGGTCCCGTTTCGCCTGTCTGTTATCTGTGGTCTGTGGCAATTTTATTAAAGAGATTTAAATTTTGTCAGATCTTACGTAAAGCGGCAAAAAAGTCAGGATTAATAAATCACAAATACAGGTCTTTTTCAGGATCATTTATCTTGAATGTCGAGGTTACAGATTCGTAGAAGCAAATGGCCGGAAATGGCTAAGGGTGGTCTGTAATTCTAGTAATTAATCAGTCTTGAATATATAACATGACTGAGTGTACTACAGACGTACAATTTCGGCCGCCATGGCGTGCTAGTATCAGATCATTAAACTGAGTTCTGGGTAAATGATCTCTCTCTACCATAATAAAATATTATTACAGTTCGTCATTTATTAGAGTCGATTTACTGACTGTTCCAGTTTTGTGCCAAGAGTTCATTTACATTCTAAAACATCAGAAGTGTCACAAATAATTCAAATTGAAATTGTGACCTGCGTTAAGCAATAACAGCTTTTTAAATATGCAGGTACAGTTAATGGACAAACAATTTTTAATAAGTTTACAAAAGTAATAATTAAAATATCGATTAGTTGTTTCGCTTTTAATTTCATTCGTTTCACCTATTTAATAATTCGGTCGATGAAAGCCGAAGTAATGAAAAATGTACTCGTATTAAATTTGAGTGCGCTCTTTCAATTCAGTTCGCTTAACTATATTATTTTGACGCTGTTTTGTGTACTGAATTAAATTAAATAGCACTATTGCTGTGACAGGTTATTTAACTTGTCGAGTTGTTCAAGTACAGAGAGCGAGCTCTAACATCATTGCTTCTACCGGTGGTTCGGAAAATGGAACGTACTTTAGAGTCTCTACTCTCAGTGACGTCAAATGAATGACGCAAAGCACCAGAGTAGTGGGTTGTCAATTCTTACTTCAAGCCCGTGTTGTCAAAAAATCAATCAAGCCTTATTCCCCAAAGTACATTCGTACTGAATTATTAATAAAATTGGCGCGGTTTTAGAATGTTTTTACCTGCTTTAAAAGCATTTAAAACGGAATTGCTTTACGTCATAAGCGAAAATGTCTAAGGTGGAAATACACATCCGTTAGTTAAGTGTACGGCGTGGTTTAAAATTTAACTACTAGTATGCAGTAATAAAAATGTTGGCTTAAATTTATAAGCTAATTAGTTTCGCAGTTATGCTTCTGTTCGTTAATAATATCAAGATTTGCGTCGAGTAAATGTCATAACGTTGAGTAAGTGTAATAGATAGTTGCGGAATTGCGGTTTCGTGTCATGTCAAAAATGACAGTTTAACGAAGCCCTAATTTAGGCTGAGTTTGTAGGCTATTTGCATAATTGCAATTATGTCTTAACAAACCTGGCAAGTTAGTGAGGTCGGCAGAGCGCGGTCTATAAAACAATTGAACTTGGCCCTAAATCAATCTGATTTAAGTCAGAGTTTATTCGCTTGGTCGAGTCCCGAAGAGATTGAAAGAAGAGATTGACAGGACGTAATCAAGAGATCAACCGAACGAGCGTAGATATATGAAGACAGATGTAGAATGTGACTATTAACAAATGAAAGTGTCATCCGCTTATCATTTCTTGTTAATGCGACGGACGCAAGAAGTTGTGAATTCGTCGTATGGGAGAGTGGACGTAAATAGAGCGGGTCCGGGTCATCGGCGGGATTGTGTATTAAAAATGAACGAGGGTTAAATTTGGGAAAATAATGATGTTAGTGACTAAAGGGCGTAATGCTCTGTAAATGAAATGGACAAATCCTTTGTAGTCAAAGGAAATAAGATCAGGGTACGGTTGACTAGTTTGGATGTTCAAAGGATGTATGGGAAGTAGAGGTATAGTAACCTACATGGACAATATCGATCGTTGTTGGGCGTGGTTTCGATATAGTATGATTTGCCCTATATATTCAAATCAATCAAACACGGAGGAAGTCGTATGGCGTTCCCTCCATAAACATGCCAAGAAATGTATCAATTAAGTTAAAAGTATTAGAATCGGGGAGGGTGGTGGCGGCGTTGGCGCGGTGCGACAATTTGTCCAATGTCTACTGTTTGGCGCTTCTTCTCCCGAAATTTGAATGATGAGTGGGTGGACAACGAACAATTTCAAATTTCAACAACACGCTAAATTCTTACCGGGACAATACAGTGTCGGATCCATAACAAAGTAGGATTTGGTTAATTGATGATGTTTCTAAAGCACATTCGCTCTCCATCTCCATATCACTGACATTACAGCGGGCGCGTAAGTCGAAATTATACAATATAGAATTTTTTTGAACACAATATATTAGTTTATCACGCGAACATGTCTGTTAGGAAGTCGTGTATGTATTTGATTTGAAGCCTCACCCCGCATAGCATCGGCGGCTAACAAACTCTACGTCCGGCAACCGGCGTCTCGACGTCTGCTGCACAGCGCCATCGAGTGATATGCCACATCAACTACCGACCTACGAGCTGCTGCACTGCAGGAGCAGCATTTTTATTTTTCCTCATTCCTGCTTCAAAACGACACACTAGACACACTATTTCACTTCAACTTCGACCAACTCCCCTGGAACTAACCTGCCGCAATTACCCAACTAACCAACTTCCACACCTCTACTTCGACCCTATTTTATAACGATTTTCGCTTCCATTACTGCCGCTTTTAATTATTTAGCGTCTCTCCTTTTTTTCGCTACATTCAATACGACCCTTTAATCTACTCGCGCAAAATTTATCATCCTCGACGTCAACCCTTTAAGCAATGTACTCAACGTTGAATACACACAAATTCTTGCTTTCTATCTGTCGCGTTTTTACGACCCGCTGGAAGCTACCTTTACGATTCTTTAACAACTAAACGCCGGAAATATATATTCCCCCCTCCATAAGAAAATTTGCAACTTTTGTTTTGCATATTTATATCAGAGCTTGTTTAAATAATTATGACATCCGTTCCTCAAACTCTGTTTGTTCATTACCGAGTCTGTTTGATGTAGACTTGCCGTGACACAAGCTTGTCTGAGTTTAATGCGTCATAAAACTACGCCAAATGTCAAATTAATATGACAGCTTGATAACAAAGCGACACGCTTGCTAACGCACAGTCACTTCCAAGCGTAAAACTTTATGAACACTTGTTATTAACCGGGAAAAAATACTGCAGCAAGAATAATAACAATTATAACTTTATATGGTGTTAAAATTTTATGTAAATTTGTCACAGTATTATACAACCTTAACATTCCATAAAGAAATCATAAAAAATGTATAACTTCGCTTAGTAGCGATCCATTTTGGTCGTTCGATTATAACAACTTCATAATTTAGTAATGTAAAAGTTTCAGTTTTCAGGAGGTCGATAAATTTAATAACATTATACCTTGAGTGTTCTATCGGTTTCACAAGAACGATATTACGTCTTATATTATGATTCGTACGACAAAAATATTATTTGTTTTGTCGTTAAAATGTGTAACCAAATTTTGTTAAATTTACGCAGGGTAGTGACGTTGATAAATTAATTATACGCTCCATTTCGACAAGGCGGCAAAAATCACCGCCTACTGGACAATCATTAATAAAGACTCCATAATTATAGCTCGTTTATTTTAATAAGCTGACGTTTCATTAATTTAAAGAATAATAATTGTACACAAAGTCCACATTTTGATGTACTAACTTAAACTCGCAACGTCCTTAATCAAAATTGTTAGTTTTTGCAGATAATCGATAAAATAAAATAAACATCAGATTAACCTGGTATCAGTATATAAGGCGAGCGTTTCTGTAATCGTAGAAATTCTTATTACCAACTGTATCTTACGTTATTTATACTTTCAATCATCCTGAGCCCTTCCGGCGATCTCGAATAAAACAAAAACCCCCATAACGCATTAAAAAAGTCGGAAATTTCCGCAACCTGCCTTGATAAATTGATCAGTGTTTTGCTCTCGGCTCAAACATTTATTAAATAATGTATGAACTATCCAAATATTAATTTTTCACTTAGAGAAGTATACTCGTAACATAAAGCGTTACATTTTTGATCGAATAAACAAGAAAAAATCCGGCTGAGCTGTACATCACACCATTCTCTTTAAAATTTAAACAGTTGTGTTAAATATTGATGCTTGTTTCTCCGCACGTCTAAATTTAAGGCTACAACAAGACTAGAATTTATCACAGAATCCACATCACTGCATTGCTAAGAATTAACGCCGGATCAAGTCGAGTATAAAACAGACTTATGATTTATTTACTCTCTAATTTGGCAAGAATGATCGTTTTTATTTAATCTGATTGATTTATTTTTCCCGCAGCCAAATACAGACGTGGTGATTTGTAGGGGCTGGAATGCCGTAAATCAATAACTTTAATTATTGAGGGCTTACGGACAACACGGGGCTTTCCGGTTAGTCCTTTGCTCTTTGGAGAATGGAAATTGAAAGTAACGATATCTACATTACAAGATTGATTTATAGACGTCACGATTTTAAACATTAGACATTATTATCGCGCGAATTTAGTTCAAACGTGCTTCAGTCCCGCGCTTTTTCCGCCAATGAGAGACTTCGAAGTGGTAGTGGGCGGGAAACAGAATTCGAAATTTTAATAAGTCGTAAAGCGTGTTTAGAAATCTCCGAATTAATAGTTTTATCATTTCAGAACACATCTGTACATCTGCGTGGCCGTGTACCTAAATATACAGTTTAGTGCATCTCCGCCACTGTGTTTGCGTCGGCATAAGAGAATTTTAATGACGGTGATTAAATTTTGAAGTACAGCATTTAAATTTTCTTTATTATCGTCTAATGAATGTCCTCGCTTTCATGACATGTTACGACAAATTTCCTTTTTGCGTCAGTGGCGTAGGGTTCGTGCCGCCACTGCGTTTGCGTTTTGCCGAAGAATTTTGATGCCGGTGATTAAAGCGAGGAATTTATTCTGTGCGTATGAATTAAACACTTATTGAACTGACCACTCATAAAATAATTCCGGGAATACATCAGGGAATGACAAACGGTGCGGATATTTGCAGAGTTCATCATCGCGCAAGAAAATTAACAGTTTGGTGGGTATTTTTGGATGAATTAAATCATCTTACTTTTGGTAGATGTTTTCGCGGAGTTTTGTCACCGGGAAAACAATGCATAGAAACACTATTAAAAAAAGGATTGTGCGGCTAATAATACACCGAAAGAGCCAACAGCTGAGGGAAATAATTTAAATAAAGGGTTAGGAGGAATTTCGGTGGCATTTTTTGACGTGGCATTGACCCAGATGGTAACAGGAAGCGGTTATCTTTGAAAATTTGGCAGGCGATCGACCGATTGGCGAAAGATTTCGATAATGAGTAATGGACGGTTTGTTTTGGCGCTCATATCACCCACCGTAAACTATCGTAATTTATTGCCTTATTTGCGTAATTGTTAATTTACAGGAGTTTAAATGAAGCGCGCTAGTCCAGAACAATATACAAATAGCCAGAAATAACATTTTTAGAAACATGAATAACTTACTTAAAAATAAAGTAAACCATGCTATACTCTTTAGCTTATTGCCAATAAAACAACACAAATCCAAAAAGCATTACATTTTTATGGCCAAATAAGTCATAAAAACACCGATTTTTCTTAACGTATATATAACACTTAGCGAGTATTGTTAGTTTGCGGAAAACTTCCAACCTCAACGCACTTTCTGTTATTTTCAAGAACTCGACATATAGCTTACCACGTTACGAGGAATAACATGTTGCAATTATAGAAATTATCCTATTAACAATCCAGGGGCACACTAATTGTTTAGTTAAAAAATAAATCGACTAATTTAGGGCATGTGCAAGCGGCGGCTGTTTTTCACCAAAAAGCAGCCAAAAAGTATGCGTGATTCTCGTTCGAAAGTAGTGAAAGAGACGACGGATTGACCCGCCAGCGCTAAGCCAGCATAAGACCAAAATATAAATGGAAGGGTCCAACTATAATCAGGGTATTCTGCTTCACCGGGATCATTTATATATTTCCAACTCATGCATGCCTCTTGCAACACCACCGCGTTCGCGCGGTTGCCTACATCCCGAGTGCAAATAACGCCAGCAACAATTAACACACCTGCGCGCGCACACATGCCTTAAATCCAAAACACACTAATAAAACCCATCAGTATGTATATATTTATTATTTATATAAAAAAAAATACTACAAAATTACCATCACATTAAAAAACATCACAATATGGCTGATGAAGTACAAGTTTTGCCATTTTTCGTACACCCCGACTTCATCAGTAGACGGATCCATCAAAACTCCCAAATACGCCAAATGGAATACTGTTGCTAGTGAATAAATAAGCAGTGTTATTTTTACTATAACACTGTCACGTTTATACTTGTGTTTGCAGTCTTTACAAGGACGAACTCGCACGCAACAATCAAATATTTCCGCAATCCGGTCTCTCGGTGCCACCTGTAGATACGAAAAAGTCCCAATTGAGACTAACACCAAGGATACTTTAAGCTCGAAACCGTGGAGGAACGAAGAGATGAGAAAAGTTGCAAAAATTGCGGCAAATTTTCCATAACTTAACCACGAATGGTACACATCTGGAACTCAATGTTACAAAACAAGAAACGAACTTTTTAAAACATACATTTCTTTAAAAAGTCGTGCATTGGCGGGTTCCACTTTCTGACAACAACTGAAAGAGATGATGGAAACTCTATCTCCATGGGTTCTGTGATTATAAAACGAAATTGGTTGATTGGACCCTTTTTTCCAGAGTTACTGAAACCAGCTGCTATCATTCCCGCCTCTGCCAAATAACTTATAAAATAGTGGCTTGTTCGGAACGTGAAGGCTTCTTTATAGGCCACTAACCACCTAAAATGACACAATTGTGGCTCAAAAGCGCTAAATTTCTACCCACCTGTTAGAATCTTCAGATATAAAGTAGTTACTCCAACAGTTTGACACCGTGAGGAAAAGTAGTGATGTTACAAGGACTTTGATTATTGCACACAGCCAAATGAGATTCTTTTTTTGAGATTTTTGATAGAAATTTAAATAATCGTTGAACGACACCCATGGCCCAAACAAAATATTAGCCCCACATAGTGTATACCCAAAGTATTCAAGAACACCAGGTTTTGAGTTAAGCGTTTCCATATCATCTATTAATGAAATGATTTTCATTGCTAGAATCATGGCAATACCGCGAATTTGCAGCCATGTTTCTGGTTCAACAAACAAATATTCACTACAAAACAACCTTCAGATGAACGAACAAATTCACAATTTACTCACCAAAGGATTAATAAAAAAATGAGAAATATTTTTAAAAATTTTGATGTATGAAAGAATGCTCTTAAATAGAAGCTTGTTTGAAGTAGTAAAAACGCTACCGTCCAACAAATGGCCAGAATTAGTTTTCCGGCGGAAGACTCGAGTGTATATAGTAAATATATTCCAATACAACCACTTAAAAGGTGTAGAAACTGGGTTGGAATGAAACCTACAAAAAAGTTTTAGAATATTGATACAATAGAAAAAAATGCACTACCTGTTGATACCAAACAACCAAACGAAAAATTTAAAGTCACTAATTTTAGGACCGTCGGAATGGCACTAAAAATTGATAGAACGACGCAGTTGTTCCAAATATCTAAGGCAGTCTCTTCATAGTATAGTTCCTCAAAATAGTAATCTTGCGAATACCTGAAACGAGTGATGAGTAGATGACATTAATGCTGTTTTATACGAAATACCCGTCGAGATTCGAATATTCTGATAATATAGACATTATTTCATTTTAGTTGTCGATTTTTAAATATTAATCAGAGGTTATGTTTACCACATGTTTACAAAACGTCAGTACTTCATGTGGACGATCCGGCACGAAGAGATGTTCGCGCAGGTTCGCTTCGATGCTAATTCAAATCGCATTTTTTTATTTGTTTGTTAAATTCTATTGAATTACAGATTTATAAGTACCTGCTATTAATAAAATTTGCAGTTTTGTTTAGAAAAACAGGAGTGAAATAGCAACAAGATTATATTTATTGAATATAATAAAAAACAAATTTAAACTTTGTATGCAGTAATATAAAATATATATTTAATAGATAATAATGAAGGAATTAATCATCCCAGTCTTCATCTTCAGTGTTATTTTCGTTAACTTCATTGACAACAGGAGGAGGAATCATAGCCGAAATTTTTTCCAAAGCTGAGCTCGCGTCCATGCTCTCTTGTTTCTTAGTGCCTGAAATGCCCTTCCTACGCATCGACAATTTCGCGTGTAAATCAGCCATCAAGTCGCCACCACTCTAAAACAAACAAATAACAAACTCCGTTCGAAAAAACCGCGAAAATACCAACCGCAGGCTTTTTTACCGCGTCGTTTTTCTTCGTATTCGCCGACTTCAGGTTCTTTGCGCCCCCAGCTTTTCTAATCGCTTCCATGAGGCTCGCGCGGACATCAAGCTGGGGCAGTTCTGATAATTTAGTCGGAGGCGGCTCATCCTCGACCGGAGGCGTCGGCGGTTTCGGTGTTTCTTCAATAGGAACTTTCTTATTCTCTACAACTTCTTCTTTGATTATTGGGGGCGGCGGCGGCGGCGGAAGTTCAATCTCGGGTATGTTTTCTCTGGGTTGAGAGTCAGCGTGTTCGATAGTGGGTAGATCAGGAATGTTTGGGGTAGTGGTGACCGAGGGGGCGATTCCTGGACCTAATTCGGTGTCGTAGCGCAAATCGTCAGCGATGTTGGGCAAGTCTGGCAAGTCTAAGGGGACATCCAAGGCAGGTACTTCCCCTAAATTTGGAGTATAAAAATAGTTTTGTGTGGAGGAACGCGTTAACGTCGATCGTTCGCTAATAGAGTGTGGGGCTGCACCAATGCCCGAGTTTTCATTGCGCTCTTGTTCTTTGATGTGTTGAGATATTTCTAAAGCGTCTGAAATGACGAAGTTTTTGTAGAGGTTTTTGCCGGAATTGTATAAGAGGAGATCGTTTACGCAGTCGATATCTCTAGGAATGTCTCCCAAACCAGTGGCGACTTCTTTACTATCGTTCTTTTTCACTTTCACGTGATATACGTACAGTTTGTCCAGAGGCTCTTCGCTAAACGTAACCTTTTTCTGTTTCACTTTATGTCTTATTAATTCGGGTGGTTTTACGTCGCTGAATATGGAAATATACTGTTGGTTGATGTCCGAAGCTGGATATTTACAGCTCGAAAATACTTGAGTTGCTTTCTTAGCTCCATTTAGCTTACTGATTTTTTTGTTCACTTTGTCTACCCTGTCGGATATGTCTGAGAGTTTCTTACTATTAGATTCGACTTTATTACTTATATGTTTCAAAATATCATCAGTCACATTATTTAAATGATTTAATACTTCTGCTACCTGAATGATTGTTTCCTGCTTACCCAAGTTTTGAGGTATCACAGGTACTTTATAAACATGGTTCATGTTATCACGTATAGATTTTCAAAATTTTCTTTCGACTCATTAATTAAAAACAAATTGCGTTGACTTTGAGGTTATGTTATTATTTTTGACATTGACAAGTATGACAAGTCAAGGGAGAGCCAGGGCCGTACTACAAAATTTTGTGACAATTTTAATATAAAAAATTACAGAGTATTATTTTTCTTTAACCCTGAAGTCAAATTTTTATTTGCATTTCCAAACGCCACATTTACAATACTTGACACTAACAAAAGTTACTATTAAATTATGTAGTTGTTATTCTAGACCACTACCACTTGTACAAATTATTTGAGGGCACTTTTTTTGAAGAAATTGCATGTTTAACGCTTGCTGGAAGGTTAATTGAAACACATTGACTATGTATTACTCCTATATTTTTGAAGTCCATAGAAAGAAGACGGTGGACCGGAAAAAGACTTTACTTAGTAACCTCAGATAAAACAAGTTTGGAGAGAAGAACATACAGAATTGTCTAACGGCACACTTCTAATAAATAAAATCACTATAAAACATCTATTTTTGAAAGCTGTATGACTGGTAATTCCCTATAATTGACAATGAAAAAAGGCGATTGATTTAATACTTTGAAATAATACGATAGTACAGCTCGCAAAAATAGAGTACATTAAGATTTTTTTAGTTAACAACACTTTGTTCATTGCTCTGCTGTAAAGTGATGAAGGCAAATTGCGATGGTGAAAAATTGCTTTATTAAAGCAGAGCAATTAACTCTTAACAACTTGTCGTTATATTGACAATAACAATTACATAATAGTTTAAAAATGGGAGGATTACAAAAACAAATCCTCTTATAAAATAATACTTGTCAAAATCACTAACGTTAAAAGTCGCTTAAAGAGAACTACTGGGAAATTTTGTAAGAAATGACGTGTCAAATCATTCACTATTCGCTTAGTAGGTGCTAGATGGCACTAACTAATCAAAAAGCGGTTCCACTAGCATTCTGATGAGTTGCATTGTTTCGAGAAACTAAAAATAAAAATTTCTAACGGTGGATCAGCGTCGGAAGGAGAGTAACACGAACTGGTTAAAAATTAGTAGAGTTAGCAAAACAATGCAAACAATAATACTCTAGGTTGATTACACACAAAGGATTGCCACGACACTACATCATTAAGATTTATACCTTGTAGACGTACTTTTCAACAATTTATAACAGAGGAAACAACAGTATGAACACAAGTTCTGCAGCGACAAGTACTTCTATAACCCTGACTTATATTAATTCATGGAGACGCACGTCTACTAAAAGGTTTTAAACTGCTATGATTTTGTACTATTATCTAATTATATTAGAATTCATTTTGACCCTATGACATGGCAGTATTTATTACTAAGTGCATCGGCCATAAATTACCCTAAGACAAGCGCACCCTTTTAAGTAATCTAATATTAACACAGATCATGTTTCATAAATTTTGGTCAGTAGAACTCAAATAAATGCTTGCAAATTATTAAATACTGTTTAGCGTCAGTGGAGTTAAGCAAATTTAGAGTTTTCTTTATGAAACATACTGTTTGAGCAGCCATTTTGTTTGAAGTACCTCACAAATGTCAACAATTTTAACATAACCTAAGATATTATATAAAACGAATCCTGCGTTTATATTTTAAAACTATCTGGCAACAACTAACATTGACTTAATGCTATCATGTCCCTCGTTTCCTCCACCCCGACGTGTATAAGATAAATTTGCTAATTTAATACCTACAAAACACAACTTAGATACAAAAGTACAGACATTTGTTGTTTTTACCTATAATAATTGGGTTTGAAAGGACCTGCTTTGTTTAAACCCATGTATTTCGCTTGTTCGTCCGTTAATTCTGTCAAATGAGCGTCAAATGTCGGTAGATGTAAACTGGCTACATATTCATCTAAAACACATATGTGTTACAACTGAGTTTTATAATTTAGTTACTAAATATAATAAGAACTCAATATATATTTACCCATTTTCTTAGGCAACAAATACACATCAGATTTGTATCGCCCAGCCGGGGCATTAAAAAGCTCAATCAAAGCAAGTGCTTGAGTGGCTGACGTTATAGAAACAACAAATGATGGTAAACTTGAACAGCTCAAATTAACGAGTCTTCCTTCCGCTAAAAGAATAATTCTTTTACCATCAGGCCATATGACATGATCTACCTGAGAACGAACTTTTTCCCATGTTAAATCAGGCGCTCTCAAACTATTCTATAATTTTTGTGTATTAATAGAATTGGGACACCTTTCATAGACTTACGACATCAATTTCCGTATTGGAGTGCCCCATATTGCACACAATACAGCCATTTTTCATTTTGTCCATGTGCTCCCGTGTTACTACGTTTTTATTTCCTGTAGCCGTTATTACTATATCTACGTTGCGTATAACTTCGTTAAGTTTAACCACTCGGAAGCCGTCCATACTGAAAATGAAAATTGTTTATATTAAATTTGGAGTCATTATGTAAGTATGCATTAAGGGTGACTGAATTTTGTTTATGTTTTTGTTATTGTGGTATACCTAGCCTGAAGGGCACAAATGGGGTCTATTTCGGTAACATAGACAACGCAACCCAATCCTTTCAAGGCTTGCGAACATCCTTTTCCCACCTCCCCGTATCCACAAATCACCACTTGTTTACCTCCAAACATGACGTCAGTCGACCGTTTTAAACTAAAAAAGGGGGATTAGATGGTTTTCAATCAATCACCCGGGATTACCTGTCTATAATCGATTCCCGACAACTGTATAAATTATCATATTTTGTTTTCGTGACGGAATCGTTCACATTCATAGCTGGAACAGTCAACTTCCCCGCCTTAGATAATTGATACAGACGGTGAACTCCAGTCACGCTCTCCTCGACTATGCCTAAGCCGACGATTATTACCCTATCTCACACACACAAACTCACTTACCTTTGATCATTTTGAACATAGCAGGGTATTTTTTCAGCATTAAATGAGTCGCGTCACCTCCATCATCTAAAATCATGTTTGGGTGCCAGTTTTCGGCGTTGACACACTTGTCGATGCACCACCAGAAATCCTCCTCGGTTTCGCCACGCCACGCAAAAACCGAAAAACCGGCTTCCGCCAAGGCCGCAGCGACCTCGTTCTAAAAAAGGGGTATTAGCGCATGATCGTCACACGAGCTGTGTCCAACCTGTGTTGAGTAGATATTACAGGCTGCCCATCTTACGCTAGCCCCTAGAGCCACTAAAGTTTCTATTAAGACGGCCGTTTGGGCATTGATGTGGGTACAGCCCACGATTTTGGCGTTTTTTAGGGGTTTGTCATCCGTCGCCCGTTTTCTTAGTGCCATGATGCCGGGCATCTCTGGAATTTTAATTTAGGTCGAGAAGGGGCATAGAAGAGGTAGGTGAGATGGGGTAGCCTACCTTGCTCGGCGATTTCGATTTCGCGCCTGCCGAAGGCATGTTGGTTGATGTTGCGTACGCAAAAGTCGGAGTTTCCGGCCGAGTTCTTCTGAATTTTTTCTCTGGGTGAGACATCGTCGTCGTCGGAACTGCTCCCTGTACAAGAGGCTGAAAGAGATGAGGTTGATGGAGGTGTGTGAGAGTGTTTGGGTACTTACTAGAGCTGTATGAGTCGGTTGATGAGGCAGATAATGAACGACTGCGATATCTGCTGGATTTTTTTAAAGCACCTGAAGATTTGGGGTCCTGTAATTTAACAACCGGTTCGGTCATGGTATTTCCAATGAATGAAAGGGTCTCTAATTTCGTAGATAAGTCGGATTACCACGAAGGTTTAGTTTTTGATAATATTCTACTGTAATTAACTGATAACATTATATTGGATCTTTTAACATTACGTAGAAGATAAAATCTTACGGACCCCCGTGTTTTGTTTGAGAATTATATATAGTAGACAGTGCACAAGTAATTTATTACGTGTGTTGAGATTAATAACAGTAGCTAGACAACAAGTTTGTAGTTACAATAAAGCATAAATAAAAATGTGTTTACACAAAAACATAGCGGCTCATTTTAGAACGTTACAAATTATGCATTGTGTTAATTGAGTGATTTATGTCTTTTAAACAACGTCCAACTGTAGCAGTTTACTAATTAAGCAAAATCATAACAACATGCATTAAGTAACAAATAAAGACCTAATGAAGGTAAAGCATACATATATACATGTATATCTTACCAACTTAGATCTTTGGCTGACGAAGGCATTACTTCCTTCCAAACCCTAGAAATAAATCCAATATAAAATTTTAATTAAATCGGCCCTGAATTAAATTTAACTTTTCTTGAAAATTCAAGGCGAGCGGCTCACTCTATATTAAAAATAAATAAAGTAAAAAATAGTAATAGATTTAGCTCTCTCCTACACTGTTCTACTTTATTAATTTTTAACATATTGCGTTCGAAAATCGTGGAAAAAACGGATTTAAATACAAAAACAAGAACGTCGTCTTGCATGGTATTTAAAAAAGGCGCTTTTACTACACGGAATGATCGAAAAATATGTTTAGAGCGAAAAACAAACCTTTGCCCCAGATGCTGGATCTGTAACAGGACTATCAGAGACCGTACTTAAATTCCTATTGCCGACAATAGTTCGTATTTCGATGTTTTCCGTCATAATTCCTATTAAATATGTTCACAATTAATCAACATAAAATAAATCAGCTGGAAACACAAGACCTAAAACACAACGTGCACAACCTGCACAACTAGTGCGAAACTACCAAATGCCCCAAATTCGCCCAACCCCGATTAGTAACTGGACTTGTTTTCATGCACACCTTATGCAAAACGGTTAGCAACGCAATATCCTAATTTAGAACTCTCTTTTGGAAAAAGTTATATAATCGAAAAAATAATTCCAGCATATTTATTGATTTCCAAACTCACTTCCAGTTTGCTAGGTTGGCAACGCACCCGACATTTTGGGGGTAAAATGGCCGAAACACCCCCGATTTCAAAATAAACCCCCATTGTACCCAACCCCCATCGTTTCCTAGTACATAAACAATTTAATCAAGTTCATGGAAAATTACATAATTAAACTGCCAGAAATTAACGTTGACGTGTCGCCTATTTTTATCTTTGTTTACGGAATGTCAGTTGTCACTTGATTGTTGGTTATGTTTAATTTTGGCGCTCCATGTGATAAAAATGTTTAAAAAACCGGTGAAAATCAAAAGCAATAGCCAAGTTAAAGGATCGGATAGGTATTAAGAATTTAGAGAAATTCGCAAAACATTGATTTTTTGTAGAAAAAACGTCAAGGAGAGACTTCTCAAAGCGTTTCCTAACCTCACTGAAGCGGACGTTGAAAATTTGCTCCCAAAGAAGGAAATCATCGCTGTTATTAAACTAACGACGGCTGCTAATGACATTGTGCAAGTTTACACTGTCCAGAAACGCCCTATTGCTTTTGATGTCCGCGGCACGCTTTTTCCTACAATTTATTTACTGTGGAAGTTTCATGATTTGGTTCCAGTTTACACCACGCACTCACAGGTGCTTTCTTACTTGTCGTCTGGCGCAGACTTGATGTTACCAGGTGTTATAACACCACCAGCGACTTCTGGTTTGTCCAAATATGGTAATTTACCAGAAGGGACGATGGCGTGTGTTAACACCACCGATAACAAAGCTGCTATAGCTGTAGGTGTTACAGCACAGAGTTCCGCGGACATGTTATCATCAGGCGGTAAAGGCAAATGTCTGACTATTTATCACGTCTATGGCGATAAATTGTGTACTTTGGAAGGTCTTCCAAATATTCCAGTTGACGATTTGGGGCCTCCTGAGTGGCTAAAACTCAGTAATTATGATGAAGATTTTCCAGAGTTGGGAGCGTCTAAAGAATCCCCTAGTAACGAGGAAGTTCCAAAAGTGCCCAATAACGACCCTTGTGACGACGCCAATAATGAAGGAAACTCAGAAGAGAGTAAAGAAGAATCGCCAGTTTGCACCACTGAAGAAATGGATGACTTACTCAATCACTCTTTTTTTGTTACTATAAAATACTCAAAAACCTTGACTCTTCCAATCTTAACGTCAAATTTTTACAAACTACAAATGATGCCGGTTTGCCCTGAGGGAAAATCGCTTGACATCAAGAAATCCTCCTTCAAGAAACTCAAACCGTTTTTAGATAGTTTGAGCAAGGTGTGTGTATAGTTTGAAAAATATGAACTATAGTAGCATTTTCAGGAGGGTCTGATTACAATAAAAGAAGCAAAAAAGGGAGTGGAATCAATAACTGCCATTAATAAAGACCATCCAAGGTTTGCCGAATTTTACCTAGAGCCTTCACTGCGTCCTAGAAAAGACGAAGAAGAAGGTGCGTGCGCACCACTGACTAGCGTCACCGAATCTTACATTATAACACCAAATGTGTTGCCTATATTTGCAGAAACTGGCTTAAAGTATGAACACATTTTAATACAATAATAAGTGTCTAATTGTGATTTTTAGTAAAGGCGATACTGTGCAAATGACACAAATTAGACAACACGTGGTAGAATACGTGAAGAAAAATAACTGCCAAAATGACGAGAATAAAAGGTGATTGTAAATGAAATGTGAATCTTGTAACATGTTTTTTAATTCCAGGCTAGTTAAACCTAAAGACGCTTTAATAAAAATATGTAAAACGGAAAATTTAATCACGTGGGAGGAGGTGATGGAAAAAGTTTGTGAAGCAATGAAGTCTTGCTACAAAGTCACCTCAGGAAACGAGGAGCTTGTGAATAAAGGCAAAGTTTCTCCAATAACGCTCACAGTTAGTCAGAGATCTGGCAACAAAAAAGTGACTCTTGTTGATAATTTGGAGCTCTTTGGAATCCGAATCGCCGATTTTGCGAAAGAATGCCAACATGGTGTAGCCGCTAGCACTAGTATTAGTAAACCTCTAGGGAAAAAATGTGATCAATTGTTAGTGCAAGGGAATCAAGTTTTGTTTGTACATAATTTGTTAACAGGTGTGTAGTTTCCAATTTTATCTTCTCACTATTATTTATTTATTTTTTTTGTTTCAGAAAAGTATAAAATCCCTGCGAAATACATAAAAGGCTTAGAAAACGCCCCAAAGAAGAAGAAATAAAACACCAATATTTTTATACTTGTATTTGTGGTTTTTGAATAAAATATTTTGACATTTTGATTGATTCACGCGTTTGAGTACACATTGTGTCACCAGATGGCGACGGCGTGTCGATGACGTCATGACATTTCATAAAACAAATGGCTTCTGAGTCTTAAAATTCCTGTTGTTTAAAGTACGATAAAACCTCTTTGAAATAATACCGTAATTAGTGTAAATCTCTTATTGTAATGGGTCTCACAATCTCGAGTGTTTTGACTCGCCTCTTCGGCAAAAAGCAAATGCGTATTTTAATGGGTAAGGTTATTACCTTTTGTGTAACAAAAACACGTATGTTTTGTTTTCCAGTCGGTTTAGACGCTGCGGGGAAGACAACAATACTGTACAAACTAAAGTTAGGAGAAATCGTGACCACAATACCCACGATTGGTTTCAATGTAGAAACAGTCGAGTATAAAAATATTTGCTTCACTGTTTGGGATGTAGGTGGACAAAACAAAATTCGGAAACTCTGGCGTCACTACTTCCAGAATACGCAAGGTTTGATTTTTGTCGTGGACTCGAACGACAGAGAACGAATCGGTGAAGCGGAAAGAGAACTCCAGGATATGGTGAGTACTAGTGTGAACATGGAAGCGTGAATGCGGAAATTGTAGTGGTAGAATTTATTAGTAGATTTTGTATGACGCGCGTTAACAACAACTACGCCCTCTGATGAGTGACGTTTGATGCTAATGACAGTTCCGAGATTTAGCGCATAGTACAAAATTGACGTGGCATTACTTTAAAAACTCTATTCTGTGACTATTCATCATAAAGTAGCTGATTTCTGAATAAGTACAATGGGTTTGACGATCTCCACAGTGTTTTCACGCCTTTTTGGCAGAAAGCAAATGAGGATATTAATGGGTAAGCGCGGTAGTTTTTAAGACGAGTCTTTTCTAACTTTGTTTTTATAGTGGGGTTAGATGCAGCGGGTAAAACCACGATTTTGTATAAATTAAAACTGGGAGAGATCGTCACGACAATACCCACTATAGGTTTTAACGTAGAAACAGTCGAGTACAAAAATATTTCGTTTACGGTGTGGGACGTTGGTGGTCAAACGAAAATTAGGCGTTTATGGGCTTATTATTTCCAAAACACGCAAGGGTTAATTTATGTAGTTGATTCTAACGATAGGGAACGGATTGCGGAGGCGGAGAAGGAACTACAAAATATGGTAAAATTATTTCTGCAGGGCGAGTGCCAAATTGGAAGACCCTTTATTGTTTAAGTAATAGTTGTGCAAATTTGACAATTTTCGTCGTTAAGTTTTTTCCTTTAATCTCCATTGTGTGTTTCAGCTCATGGAAGATGAGTTGCGAGACGCCGTTTTACTTGTCTTTGCCAACAAGCAGGATCTCCCGAATGCAATGACAGCAGCAGAGCTGACTGACAAGTTGAACCTTAACCAACTCCATAATCGACGTGTAAGTATTAGGTACATGATTCTCGTTCAAGGTTTCTCAATATGGTGCAATTTTCTAGTGGTACATTCAAGCCACATGTGCAACCCAGGGCGACGGTTTATATGAAGGTTTGGACTGGTTGTCGAATGAATTAGCCAATAAATAGTTAGTTTACCTTAATTTTAGCTAGCATTTATATTAATAATAAGTTTCATTATTATTTACATATTTTCTAACTTAGTTAAACCTGTTTGTGATTTATATAAGAGTAAGTGACTGAAAAATAAAAAATCTTCATATACAGTCTCGTTTTAATGCGCTATTACAAGTTTTAATCCTTATCGCGGGTATTAGCCGACTTTTTAATTTGTTATGAATCATAACACGTGATTCGATTGCTCCATAAAACATTCGTCACGTCGATGGTGATAACTGAAACGGCAACAAAAAAATTAATTTTGGTTGAAAAAGTAAAATCCGTCACCTCTTTCAAAATTATATATTTGCAAAAGTCAGTTACATCATTACAAAACATTTGTTCTGCAATGCTACAGCGTTAATTAGTGCGCAGTTGGTAGTCCCCGTTCTGAGTAATATAGCGCACCCAGGGTAAAGCCTGGTATCCACTTTTCTCAATAATCTTCAAATAGCGCACCTAAAACACAAAATTAAAAATCGACCTACAACAAAAAATCGAAATTCGTACTTGTATTCCGGATGTTGTGAAATAAGGAATTTCGAATTTAACTTGAATCGGGGGTTTCCCCTCCGTGTCTTCACACTCCACACTTGGTAAACCAAAGTGTGCCCTCATTAAATACTCTTTTCCACCTGGGAATGATTTAATAGTCCACGTTATGGCGTTCTGTTCAGGTGCATACTTCACGCTGCCAATTGTAGTTTTAAATTTAGGCGAATCCGCGTCGTGAGGTACCGGAATTACAATCTCGACATTATTAGCCGTCGATCGCCTTTTGAACTGTGATTTAGCTTTAATCATGTACTCCACACGACTGTGAGCATGGCGCTCAATTACTGATTCAATCCAAATTAGGGGTTTCACCTAAAAAAAAACGAAAACGGTTTCCGGGTGACGTCGCGTCACAACAATATACTCACGTGCGTGTTGAGCCGGTACGACATCAATTCAAACTCCCCATCAGGCGGAATGAAAGAAATAGTTCTGTCAATCTCGAACCGCGACAGTCGGACGCACTGATGGAACTTCACATCTTCTAATTCGACGGATTTGGACTTACCACGACCGGTGCTCTCAAACAATACTTTATCATTCAAACCTAAACGTAACTCTGGCATGCCAGATAAGTAAACTCGCATTTTGATAGCGCCGACGATTTCGCTTCTCAGAACGTTCCCATTGGCGTTTGCCAGTAAGTTAACACTTTCTATAACATCTAAAAATACTTCGTTCTTTCTGTATTTGATCCCTTCAGACCTCCACGAGACCGCGTTAGTTACAGCCACGGGAATCCTGGGTTGTATTTCTAACTTATGCCCTTCTTGAGTGATGTATTCTTGCAGGATTTTGCTGTCGGTAGTCTGTGGGTACCCAAAATCGATTAATTCGTCTAAAAGCTCGTAAATAACGACGAAATTATCCCTTATACTCTCCTCCTCCAGTTCTTTAAAGTACTCAGTCATAACTTGGACGATTTTGTGTAAGAAAACGAAAACGAGGGCAATATTTGCGTTTTTCTTAGTCGTGCTCACGATATACAAGTTGTTGGTTTTGATGTAAGCGAACGTGCAGTCGTTCGTTTGGAGCAAGGGTGTGAGAAGGCCCTCTTCCTCTTTTTCCATGAGGAGTGGCATGAACTTCTCGATGACCCCCAGGTCGATATCGCCCCGGTAGTTCCGCGAAATGAGGACCTAAAACACTGATAAGACTCGTTTTGGGCGAAATTAGCCCTTACCTTGCCCTTAACATCGAGAATGTAGATTGCTGAGGACGACATTATCACAAAAACACAGGTGTGCTGGGTTATTGCCACATGAGCACGAGTTTTCGCGAACACCGGCGTCCGGCAAAGTCAAACGTGCGGAATTACTCCCACGGTAACATAATTCGGGCTGGTTTGGTTTAATACGCGATTTTCGGGAGGGTTTTGGAAAATTTAACACGATGTCAAAAATGTCAAATGTGTTGTCACGAACACGAATTCACCTGTCACATCCGTCATTAGACACCGGCGCCGGGTGTGCTACTTGGATAAAACGTCAATGTCGTTGAAACTAAAACCTTATAAAGTAAAAAGGAACTAGAGAGGCGTGCGAATTTAGAAAAGGAATGGACAAAAGCAAAAAGTGCGAATTTTATCGCTTTTCGTGTAATATTTTTATATAGGTGACCAATAATACGCTGCTTAGTGACAAACCAAATTAAGTTTATAGTTGCTGTCATTCGTCAATTGTCGGTGTTTATTTTAGTTAAAGGAAAATAACAATAATATAAACAAGGTACTAAGTATTAGATTATTACAAATCCACACTTGGGTTTTTGTTAATTATTTGATATTATGATCACCACTAGTGATTTTATGAAATGACTGCATGCTTGACGAGTTTCTGTTATTGGGAGCTGACCCCGCTCGGGCAGCCGTTGGCGTACCTGAACGAGAGCGCGCCGAATTCGAACGTGCCTTTAATAAATTGAATTTCGATTTTTCTGTGGGTTAATTGCGACCAGAAGTGCGAAAATAGTGGTCAGGGGTGAGTTTCGAGAGTTTTTGGTGTCGATTCGTGGCTTTGGAAGCCGTCCAAAGCCGTAATTCGTGTGAAATAGTGATGCACATTTCGATTGAGCTGCAGTTACCCAGCATGCATCATGAGTGGGAGTGATGTCTGGCTGGTGCCGTAAGCGAAGTTGCCTGTTCGTCGTGAAAACCGCAAATTAACTGGAATAATCAAGCCGATTGGTTTTAAAAGTAGCTTAAGTCGGTTTCGCTCGCCGTACTCAGTCAAGAAATGTGACAAAACGCCAAAATTACGACGAAGTGGTGACAGTAGTGGCGGCTCTGTGCTGACGTATTCTCCATTGTACCTCTTGTGTGCCTCGATCTTACGGACTCTATAAAACCATGAAAGGTACGTAACGGGTGTGTAAGCGGAGAAGGGCGTTTTTTTTGCGTTTCGGGGAAGAAGGGCGCCTTTTCCGGGAAGTTCGAGCCGTGTGCGACATGATTTGCGGCTTTTAGGTCGCCACTTTACTACAACCATGGAATGTAAACACTCTAGCCCCGCCCCACCACATACTATTGTCATTTATAAATCAATTCCTTATTTTGCTTGAAATAGTCGTTAAATTATTCGTGGACGTATTTTCGGGGCTCGGCAACGCACCCCGGTCGAATTTTTTCGAGGCGTAAGTCCTGCGTGGAACCTCGGGGATATCGGGTGCCGCAGCAAAGCCCTCCGTTTTCGACAAATTCGACTCGGACGGGGAAAAATTGCGTGTTTTTTATATTACCGTCCTTTAATTGGACCGAGTTGTGGTGTCACGGCAGATGAGTGATTGTGTGCGGGCATGGATTGAGCGAAATCGAGATCTAATTGTCGTTTTTTCCTTTAATTACAGAATGCAACCTAATGGCTAAGAGGAAAGCGCAGTGTTTCTTAATATTGAACGGATTTTAATAATTGTAGGTACGTTTGATTTGTTTGTGGTCGTTCACCATCATTTTAACCCACTGAACATAACATCTGTATTGATTTGCACAGGAATTATGTTTGTTTCAAACTGTACTTGAAACGAACGTAATTCGGGGATTTTTTTCATTTGGTTGCTTATGTCTAATATCTGTTTGCATGTATGTCACAGGGAAATTAAGTGCTTTCATCATGTCTGGTAATCAGCTTATGGATTCGTGTCTGTAAGTAGCACCACAATTAAACCAAACCTAACTTCTTATTCTTATCATTCGAAGAATGTAGTCGATCATCATAACTCACACATAGTGTTTGTCTTACTAATCTTAATCTTAACGTTTTCCGATAAAAAAGGTGGTTTGTTTGATGTAGTTGTGACTCGTCTCACTTTCTGCATGTTCTAAGTGGTGTTATTGCTCTGCTAAAACATTGATTGCTTTTACACTGGCAGCTTGGTGAACCGACGAGTGGAACAAAGACAAGAGCACAGCATCACACATACTGAAATCACGCAAAGGTAGGGGGCTCATTCACATTTTGCTTTCCATTTGCAATTCAATCATTCATGAGTTAGGTCGCTTATCTTTCATGAAATCATTCGACGTATTATTACTCATTTAATTCGAGTTTTGTGGAGTTCAGGCGGCGCCAATTACCGCCCTAATTACTTAATTATACTTCCAACAAATGTAAGGTGGACGGAATTCAGGGAACGGCTGAAAATTCCACGACTTTTAAAAAACACGCATCTTATTAAAAAGGCAATGCGCGAAAGCAGATCATTAGATTCTCACTTTTCCAATTAAAAATACCCTGGATGTACGGAGGACCATTAAAAGTTACAACTCGATACCAGTCAACCGAAATGAGCAAAATTCGACTTAATGAGACCGGAGACCGTTTTCCTATATACGACACAGAACTCTCCGACGAGCGACAAAATTTCGAACGTCCCATTACGGGATTTTTAAAATTACTAAGTGTAGTCGAGCGACATTGACCCAATAACTTCCTCACTGTGAAAAAATTCGGTTGAATTATTCAGAAGCATTTCGATACCGGAGCTGAGAAAATGAATCCGGAGACGATAACAACCGTGCTATTTTTACGTAGTGTTTGTTACAAAAAATAAAAACTGTCTGTGTCTTCTCGTCTCGTCCAAAGTGTTTTCGTTATTTCGTCGGGAGTTTCGGCGAAAAACGGGAATTTCATTCCGAAGTTTGTCGATCATTACAGGAAATGGCGTTAAGGTTAGCACAAACAAATCACAACACTTGCCCCTCATACATACATACGTACGGTCGCAATATCGACATTTTGTCACATTTCATGTTCGAGTGGTTAAACACAAATTGGAAATGTCTTCAAAATTTAACGTTAATATTAGTCGATTCACGATTGACTGATCTTTAATGAAACCTCACTTACTCCCAATAGTGAAAATAAATCAACAGTGCGCTGAAATCTCGCTGATGACGTCATTTCCGCTAAAATTGTACCTATAGTTTTTCAGACGTTAATGCATTGATATAATTTCATCGATTTTTGAACCGTTCTGTGCTTATGTGACAAATAGTTCGTCATTCTTTAGTGATATACACGGATGGAGATTTTCCGTAAGAAATCGGTGTAACCGGTGGGGCTCTTGTCCGGGAAGTAGCTGTGAGTCACTACCGACGTTAATGTTGATAAATTTAGCAAAAAGTGTGAGTTTTCGGCCGGTCCGGGCGCCAGCTTACATTTGGCGTTTCCAAGTGTGTGTCAAAGTACCCATTCATCATGTTCATTTATTGTTTCTAGGCGAGTTTTGCAAGAGAAGGTGCCCGAAATGCAGCATTATAAGTAAGTTGGCTGCATGCGGTTTGAGAGTAATTTGCCCGTCGTGTATGACCGTGTTTGACATGTTGATTTTATGCGCAGGGGTCCGGACGCAGGGAGTTCTGTAAACGAAGGAGCCTATCATTCGCATAGCAATGGACATTCAGAGCATTCACCAAATTCCAGCCATATGTCAGTTCATAGTGATGAGCCTTTAGTGCGCACACATAAGCAGCAAACCACCCAGCAAGTGACGACCGTGACGAAGGTCGTGCGGGAAGTGCAACAGCTGGGCGACGGTCAACCAGGAGAGTATATACCGGTGCCGCTGGGTTCGTATTCGCACCCTACGCACGCTCGGAATCAGTACGTTGATTATATGGAACAACCTGCCCACCATATGTATTCTCAGTATCATCAACACCCACACTACCAAGACTACGAGCATTATCCTAATCCGTATGGCGCGTACATGGGGTACCCGACGGGCGCGGAGCGGCCCCCCACTCCGCCCAGTCCGAGCGAACACAGCGGGGCTCCCTCGCCCATCCCCATAAGCGCACAGCCTGGGGTTCCGTATTTGAGCTCGGGGTACGACGAATTACCGGAGCATTTCAGGGTGACCCCGTCTCCGGGCGGGCCGATAGGGTTGGACCCTTACCAGGACGACCCAGGGGTCGTTTACGGGTACGTCTCGCCTTCTCCTTACGGCACCGCACCCGTTCACCAAGGACCAACATACGATTCACGTCCATACGAAGATAGTCTCAATGGTCCGGTTCCGGTGGGTGCGCCGATGAGGATGTTCGAGGACGAAGAGCTGCAAAAGCACATGAGCAAAATGTCACTGCACGGTCACAGCATGGGTTTACCTCATAACAGAGCACACAATATGGCCTCCCCGGGTAGCGTTGGGGGGGACGACGATCAAAGGGGTATGCGTTGGCGCGATCCGAATTTAACCGAAGTCATCGGTTTCCTCAATAATCCTAATAATGTTATTAAAGCTAATGCAGCGGCCTATCTTCAACATCTCTGTTACATGGATGACCCCAATAAACAAAAGACTAGAGCTCTCGGCGGTATACCTCCTCTCGTAAAATTATTAAGTCACGAAAGTGTAGAAGTATATAGGAACGCTTGCGGTGCATTAAGGAACCTTTCGTACGGAAGGCAAAATGACGAAAACAAAAGAGCGATCAAAAACGCGGGAGGCATCCCCGCATTGATTAACCTTCTAAGAAGAGCCAACGAAGCCGAAATCAAAGAATTAGTTACAGGCGTTATATGGAACATGAGCTCTTGCGAAGATCTAAAACGTAACATTATTGACGACGGTATTAACACCATCGTAAACTATATTATTATTCCACATTCCGGCTGGGATCCTCAGGGGAACCACGGCGAAACTTGTTGGTCGACAGTATTCAGAAATGCTTCAGGTGTGCTTAGAAATGTTAGTTCAGCGGGCGAGTACGCCCGAAAAAAGTTACGAGAATGTGAAGGACTGGTCGACGCGTTGTTGTTTGTTGTACGCTGTGCCATAGACAAATCTAACATAGGCAATAAGATAGTCGAAAATTGCGTGTGTATTCTGCGCAATCTTTCCTATCGTTGCCAAGAAGTAGAAGACCCCAACTACGACAAGAATCCTTTGCCAACGCAAAGTCGGGTCGCCGCTAATTCGAAAGGTACTCACCCCGTTGTCTTTACACGACATTATAGCTTGATTTTTAGGTGAAAATCTTGGCTGTTTCGGCGGAAGCAAGAAGAAGAAAGATTCGCAGAGTACTGAAGTAAAGGAGAGTACTTCCGGTGTATCTACCGTTGGTACCGGTGCGAATAGTGCAGCCGCAAGAGGTGAACCAGTCCGCGGAATGGAACTTCTTTGGCAGCCGGAAGTTGTGCAATCTTACTTGGCTCTCCTGCAGAGTTGCTCAAATCCTGAAACGTTAGAAGCTGCTGCTGGTGCTCTTCAAAATTTAGCAGCGTGTTACTGGCAGCCGAGTATAGAAATTAGGGCAGCCGTACGTAAAGAAAAGGGGCTGCCGATTCTTGTCGAATTATTGCGAATGGAAGTCGATCGAGTAGTATGTGCCGTAGCGACCGCTCTCAGAAATCTAGCGATAGATCAACGTAACAAGGAGTTAATAGGGAAATACGCAATGCGTGATCTCGTTCAAAAATTGCCCTCTGGCAATCCACAACACGACCAGGGTACTTCCGATGACACTATAGCGGCGGTTCTCGCTACATTGAACGAAGTCATCAAGAAGAACGCCGAGTTTTCGAGATCTCTGTTAGAAGCAGGTGGAGTTGAAAGACTGATGACCATAACGAGACAGCGACAGAAGTACACTCCTAGAGTTTTAAAATTTGCTGGTCAAGTATTATTTACGATGTGGCAACATCAAGATCTGCGCGACGTTTACAAGAAACATGGTTGGAAAGAACAAGATTTTGTTACAAAGACTGTGGCAGCTAGGAATTCTGGTCCTAATTCTCCAAATAATGCTAATAGCACTTTGAATAGACCCATGGCATCGCAAAGCGGCACGCGATATGAAGATAGAACGATGAAGAGATCTGCTCCAGGCGCTCGAGGTGTGGCTCCGGTGTATCAAAGGGTAGGTTTTGCTAGAATATAGAAGGCGCGCTATTGATAATTCCTGTTATAGAACGAAGATATTCCAATGGCTGATATGGCATACCCAGAAACGCAACCCCCGATGGGGCGAGCGTACCCTCCTGGCCCTGGTCCAAACCCACCTCCAGTAAGTCACTAATTAACCACTTGCACAAACCCTACACGTCCGTGTCAATTCATCGCGTTTAAATAAAAAAAATTAAAAAAAAAACAAAAATAAATTAATATTTGGTGAAGGTGGATCTGGACTGAGCACAGACTTTTGCTCAAGTTAGCAATATGGCAACTTTCATTCCATGTACATCTCATAGTATACTAACGAACACGACGGCCTCAACGTCGATTACGGCATTCACTTAGACTGTTAATAATCTCGATGTTCATGTACAGTACAAGTTACAAGTACAGTCGTAGGTGATTTGTAGCAGCATCCTCTGTTCCGTATTATGTATGGAGCCCTTGACTGTAAGAGTTTTTACTACATTTTTACTGATTTGGTCTGGAGCATAGTCTTCCTTGTACTCTCACTATGTACTAGCTGTGTCTGTATCTATACCTGTAGCATATGACATATGATTTGTAAACATTGATACGATACGAGCTGTGTTGTGGTGGGGTGGGCAGCGAGCGAAGGCCCTGGCAGCAGCGTCGTCGCCGGCGCCGACCGGTGCCCAGGTAAGGCTCTGTGGCAGCTGCTCAGGGCCTTTGGTTGACTGCGCTCAAGCTGATACGAGAGGCCCTGCCCAGCAGCCGTGTGCCCAACTGCACAGTGTGTCCATTACAACAGGCTCACTCTCTCCAACTTCATTCCAAGAACGCACGCGGGGGCCACACTCTACACTACACCCCAAAACATCCACTAAAGCTTCCCGAGGGGTGACCACTTCGTGTGACCGCCCCAAAACCAAGTACGTTCACAGATATGTATATGCCAGAAGACGGCGATATGTGTTTGTCTCTTTCCCCTTTGCGCATGCCTGTAACGTATTTGCGTGAACGTGTAACTTGATTCCTAACTAACCGAAATCTCCGAGTGGGACCCCCGGCACCCGGTGGCGGCTCGTTCCCACGTCGCCTTTTACGCACGAACACCATTATGTACATACTTGCTGTTTCCACTCGCGAGCCGCCACTCACACTACTTGTACAAATTTTTACAACGATTTTGAACATGTAAACAGCGAATGTAATAAAAATTACATCAGTAAAACACTTTTTTTAATAGAGGACCCCAAAACACACCTGAGACACTTGTTTTGTTTACATATTCAGAATTTCGAGTCTTGTATGAAGTGAGAAGTTTGGGCGCCTGTTGCGGTGACACGCTGTACGCACTCAGCTGACTGAGAGTGTGTTACAGCCGGAACCTCTCTACGCGCAGGTCAACATGGAGAAGAAACGAAATCGTCAACCCAGCTTGGGCAACGCTAACCATCTGGACGAGCCGCAGCTCACCAGTGTACCAGCCGGCAAGGACTCCTGGGTCTAACGACACTTGTTATATATCAATGTTCTGTCGCATGTTCAGATATATAATGCACTGATTCATATGAAATATGTAATATTTAGTTTGTGGTTTACTGTGATGAGCTTCAAGTGAAATTGCCTGTATATATTATTTTGCCTCCAAATTTTTTTTTTTTTTGTAAACATTGTTTTATTTTTGTTTTTATTTTTACAATGAGGTTTATTTTAAATAAATTTATTATACTTAAATTATAGTCATATAAACAACTTCATAGATATATTATAGAAATTGTTTTATTATATCGTATGCCGATGATTTTTTTGCAATTTTATGGTATAACTTCATTTGTAAAGCGTTTTGAATATTTGAACCAATTCAGACATACCATAGTCAATTTTAATATTGTTTCTAATAAATTTATTATAATTTAGACACCGTCATTTCTTTGTATTGTACAGTAACCTACACACACTTCAAAAACCATGTGGTACCTTTTTTCGTATTTTAACAGTGTAGTTATAAAATTATATTTGCATGTTAATGACGTTAATTTTTTACTGCTTAGTATGTAGTAATGACCTCATCATCGCAATATTCAAATAGGTGGCTATTAGTGTATGTGAACGTGTTAAGGTGAGTGAGCATTAATTCGTGTGAGGCTAAAGTTTTTAACAAAATATCCGGTAAGTTGCATCTTGTTTTGTAATCCGTTACTACTATACAACTAGTACCTGAAAGTAACTAACAAACAATATAAAATACATAAATATTTGCATAAAAAGGTAGATAGGAACTTGTAGTTATTGTTAGTATGCAGACCAATAGTTTAGTTAACATTGAAGATATCGGTATTGTTAGTTATGTTTACACGTTACTTGAATGTATACTGGGTCACTAGGCCACTACTTAAGTCATAAACTAAAAGTTATACGTTTAAAGTGTCGTTCATACCAAAATGAAATGCAATCAACAAAAAGCACATGATATAAGTAAAAGATGTATTTGCATCGTAATAAACAAATAATTTACAACAAGTGAAGTTTGTATGTCTTCTGGGTGAAAGTACTCAAAATTTACACGGTTCACACAATTCCTGGAAATTTTTATATAATATTATAATACTGTGTACTGCGTCTATAGTAACACACTGTGACCCGACATTGTCAGGTTTACAACATTTGTTTTAATGCTACCAAATTTGTTAGTCTAATTCTAGAATTGCGCTTTAGTTAGTGTGCCGCATATGATTTTTGTTGACCAAAACAGTATGATAAGAGAGTGATAAGTGCCTATTTGCGATACGTAACCACCTTCCCAGTGACGCGACCATAGCAAGAATTTAAGGTATTTTGAGAAGCAAGTGAACCACGTACTTAAAACTGAACTAATGAGTAATAAAAAAATGGGTCACATGTGAACGCCTGTGTTAAGATAGAGTTTTATCACTAATAAGTGAATCATTCTCTCGCGACAATAGATAACATACGAAACTATGAGTCAAAATATTTTCATTTCAATTTACTTTGAACAATCAATATTGTCTCAAACTAGATTTGAAAAATTCCATAACGATAACACCATTCCGTTTAGCCCTTTAATGTGTTTAAGATTGACTGATACGGCGTCCCCTGTGATATGAATGATTGATAAGATAACGTCATTGTATAATTTGAGGAATTTTACAATTATAGTCATGAAACCCCTACTGAAACGCCCGTTGAATTGGGCGGCAAAATAGGGGTTGATGCTATTATGCAACACAGTATGCATTGAAACAACGAAACACGCCCCTTTCTAAAATATTCCGTCCTTGTCCAGCCGACACGATAGGCGCATGCGCGTTAGCAGATTAACTGGGTTTTTTCGCCGGTATATTTCACGAATGTTGCGAGATTGTGTATTTTTCGGTAGATTGGTACACGGTGAGGTTGAGTTTTTCGCGGGATGCGAGTGTGATCTGGCAACCTCTTGTGAGACAGCGCATGTTTCGTGTTCGTCTGATTCCGTCTTTTTGTGTGAATTTCCAAAATTGCGTTGGCGGTGTGTCGCTATCGCAATGCGTGAAGAAGTTCTGCAGCAAATCTTTGGTTATAACTATTAATAGAATGAATTGTGTTCTCGGTTATAACAGAAGAAGATTAAAATTAGACAATTCAATAATGGAGCAACATGTGTAAAACATTGTGATATATAGTAATATTAAATTAATGACCAAATTTTTTAAATGTATGGAATGGCGCCAATGATTTATCCTTCATATCTGTTCGCATTATTTTTTATAATATTTTGGTTTGCTATGTGGCTTTTACATCTTATAGCAATATTCTATGGGTAAGTTTCTGGTTACTGTTCAACCCTAACCTCAACAATCACTTTGCAGCAAATACAGGTTACATAATAAAGTAACAAAACTTCCCTCTGATGAACCGTGTCCAGGAGTTTCTATTCTAAAACCTTTAATGGGAGTAGATAGTAATTTGTCAACAAATTTAGAAACGTTTTTTACATTGAATTACCCTTTGGTGAGTCAAACAAGTACTGTATTTACAAACAACTAAAACGCCTCTTCCAGTATGAAATCCTGTTTTGTATTGAAGATGAAACTGATCCAGCTATTGATGTGGTCAACACTTTAATAGAAAAGTATCCAAAAGTGTCTGCTCATGTGTTCATTGGTGGCTCTATAGTGGGTGTAAATCCAAAAATTAACAATATGAATAGGGCCTATGAAGCTAGCAATTTTGATTTGATACTCATATCTGATAGTGGAATAAGAAGTAAGTATTAGTTAGCTTACTACCTAACCGCGAACGCCTTTATCAGTTTGAATGCCTTAAGTCAATATTGTACTATTTGCTCAAGTGGTGATGCGTATAATTTGCTTCAAATATTTACACAACAAGGTTTATATATTTTAAGAAAATAAATAAGTAAGCAAGTGTACGTCAACATTCGTTATTATGCGAGATCAAAATTCTGTATACAGTATTAGTGAAAGTGATTGCAAAACATACAAATATTTTGACAAACATTACTCAATATCACGTCCGTAATTTTTAAACAAAATTGGAAAATCTAGTATAACTATAACCCTACTTTTTGACCACAAAAATTTCGTTGACCCTTTTTTAATCATGGCACACTTGCCTAATTACATATTCATCTAATAGCCTCATTTTTAATATCCAGATGGTTATTAAATGGATCACTTTCTCTTTTAATTAAAACTAATGCATCCATTGTTTTGAATTTTTCATCAGTCTTGTTTAACAGTGTGCAATTCGGCTGGAAATTCCACGCAACGATTTCTCATAAAAATTGTGTTTTTTTATTAAAGTATGTATTTGTATAAAATGCGCGGGTTGTAGAGGACACGAAAGGTGTATATCAGCTAATCTCATTTAGAAAGAGTAAGATAGAGAAGGAGCGGAAACATTCCAGTATAATTTTTTCCGCGACGTGTAATTTATTTAATTTATAGTATTATAACTTTGAGATCATTGTTCATAAAAAAAAGAAGGTGTTATCTGTAACGAGAAAATTTAGTAAATTCATATCTGTCCTTATTATCTTGACATTTATAATCTAATCATCAGAAAAGTATGTATAATTGTCTCCAAAATTAAACGAATGCTATTATATTCGAAAGCAATATTGAATGAGTCATTTTTAATTCGTCCAAATTACAATCCCAGCTAGTTGGATGTGTAACGATTCCAGCAAATATTTACCAGTTTTGTCTTCCTAAAATATTTGTCTGTGTTGAAAGGTCCAAGGCCACGAAATGCCCTTCTAACACGGAATTTTACGAAACTTATAAATCGATCATTTTTTAATTTTTCCGTATTTTTTATACATTACTAATTACGGCCTATTGATTTTTGTATCCGTGATTTATGAAAACATTATCATAAACTTGCATCAAGGTTAAATATATTGAAGCATATATCTATCGCAACTAGAAAGGAGCGCACCATGAGCGAAATTATTCTAATTTAAAAGCAAATATTTTTTGCACAAGGTTGAATCGAATTTGTTTCAACCTTAAGAATAATGTGTTTAATTGATGACGCTGAATCATTGTCGCCTGTATGATGTTATAAACAGGATGATTCACGACCGTATAAAAGAGGCATCAGACGCCGTGTCCGGAAATTTCAAGCTCTAATGCAAATTAGAATGAATGAAGAGAGCGCGGGAATTTCAAAAACCACACGTTATTTTTGTCGCCACCGAGATTTCATTGCCCCGTGAATTAAAGACGGTAATAACTGTGTAAACTGGTCGTAAATCACACTGTATTACTAGTAAGTAGAAGCTCGTTCCAGGAACGTAAATATTTGCGAATAGTAGGTATATAAGTGTATTAAAATACTACTGTGTAAATAAGTTTTTGCCATGTCTGTTTCGTGGCCTTCAGTTCTATCAATTACAACCCCGGGTCATTTTAGAGCATGAAATTTTCGTGGGCACAGAAATAACGTTCTTATTGTAGTCATGCGCAGTTGCTACTAAGTCGTTGTATTTTTCAGTGAAAGAGGACACTCTTTTAGACATGGTCAACCACATGGACGACAGGACTGGATTGGTTCATCAAATGCCTTTCACGTGTGACAGGCCTGGTTTCGCGGCAACTTTAGAAAAGGTAGGTTTTTTTAAATTTCGCGCGCTTGGCTCCTAATCGCTTTGTTTTTAGATATATTTTGGTACTGCACAATCTAGGATATATTTAGCAGCTGACTTCTTTAGAATTAATTGTCACACAGGAATGTCAGCGTTGATGCGAAAACCTGTGCTTGAAGAACAGGGTGGACTTAAGTCATTCGGGTGTTATTTAGCAGAAGACTTTTTTATCGCAAAGTCCTATATAAATAGGGGATGGAAAACTGCCATTAGTAGTCAACCAGCGATGCAAAATTCGGGCGTTTGTGATGTAGAGAATTTTCAAGCACGTCTGACTAGGTAGACAGTTTTTGATTTGTATTGTTGTGTATTATATTGTGGTGATATAGGTGGGCGAAGTTGCGGGTAGCTATGGTACCGTTTGTCATCCTCGTGGAGCCGCTTTCAGAATGTATGATGATCGGAGCTTGTACAGCGTGGTCAGTTGGTGTTCTTTTCCAGTGGGACTTTTTTGTGTTTTATTTAGTACATATTTTAATATGGTTTATCTGTGATTGGACCTTACTGTGTATTGTGCAGGTGAGAATTTGTGTTTTTTAAGGACGTTACGTAATGTTTTCTATTGCAGAATGGTTCCTTGCCTTTTAATAAATTTCATTTCGTAATTGGTTGGTTATTTAGGGAGCTGTCAGGTCCCTATTTGTTCGCCAATGCCGTTCTAGACCCTCCGATAAAATGGCGGAATAGAGTTTTCAAATTAGCTTGGGGAGGGGTTGCCCAAGAATTAAACCCTAGGATAAAATGTTAATTTAAGCTTCTTATAATTTATTTAATAGAATCATACATTTCCCAGTTTTTAGGTTAATGTTTCAGTAAAGTGAACCCACTATTTAAACATCATATACATTGTTTTTGTACTTCATTTTTGTTGTTGTTTGTTAAGGTACTTACCTTACTTCTCATGTTTCATCCATTACAAGTAGTCATAAATGGCTAACCATTCTGTTCTATGTAATAGATTACAATCATGCGTTATGTTGCTTTATCATTAACAAAGACTATAAATTGTGTTGGGTAAATATAAAGCAATATATTGTGATAAATTCATACTTATTGTAAATATTGTTCCATCATTTTTGATAATGTAAATTTATAAGCAAGTTACGACTTACAAACATTGGAAATCACCACTTCAAAGACGGTAGTGAAGATAGGCGGCTCTGGCAGTGAATGTGCAGTGAATTGGCTTAATAGTCGTACAATCACGGTACTTAGTCAATTGTAAATACTTGTTTTTGTTGTTTTTTTTTTATATATAAATCAATTTTGAATAATCTTAAATGGTGGGTTCAAGACTCATACTTTGTGATTTGTTTACTTCAACAGAGGCCACTTCAAAAATACTTCATTTGATTACATCTCCATATTGAATATACATATCACAAAAATTTGTGTTTTTATACATGTTCAGAATATTCTTCACATCCTAAGGATGCTCTTTCGCTTGAACTTAACATTCAGAATTTTTATTCAAGACTGATTACGAGAATGTTTATTTATTTTGTTTGTTCGTTTGGCCATTTTGTATTCGTTACTGGTCAATATAGTATTTTAATTAAACTGCCTTTCATTCAGTCCATAATTAATATTTAATTGTTTAATAAAATAACGTAGTCCAACAGGTGGCACCACCACCCCTATACTGAGTGCCACCCTCTGTCGTTCCAAAAAGCACCAGCAGAGGGCAGCCGATGCCGAAACCTTGCCAATTATAGACCGCATGCAAAGTGCACTTTAGAAATGCACAAAGGTTGCATCCAAGGGAGTTTTTACACAACGATGAACCCCGACGTCGGGTGGGAGTATTGTGGTGCCCCTGACTTTTACTTGACCGATGCCACTTTCACGAACGTTACATTAATTTTTAATTTATCTTTTTCACTGAAAGAATTATTACCAATAAAATTAGAACAGTTTGTGGAAGCGTATGAAAGTTTTAGAAGACAAATTATCCAAATTAGTCGTTTTTAAGACCACGTGAACTGTTGCTATAGCTGCAGCGAAGGATTTTTTTTATCCCTGCCGGGAATAACACCGTTCCCTCGACTTAAAAAAACCCGAATTGCGTAGTAGCTAATTGTAAGATAATAACAAAGAATGAGAGGTATTAGGGTTCTGGTTAATTAATTTGTTATTATTGCTTGCTTTTTTTTGGTTGGGGGAAGGTTTTTTCGTATTGGCGAAAAAAATTTAAGCGGTTATTGCCAGTGACAAAATAATATTGGCCTCCGAACTTTCGTATTGTATTGATATACTTGTTGCTTATTGACACTTCGTGGTGGCTTTCTTTAAATAATCTGAATTTATTTCTAGGTAGTAAATTTGAAACAATATAGTTGAGAAGTTCGACTAAAGTATAGTTCTTTGTTAACTAGGAACGAAAAAATCATTATTGGGTAATTTAATTGAACATTTATTTGGCAGGTACGGTCATAAACAAGCGTAACTAAGGTATGCTATTGATTACGATGGTTGCTACGAAAAGTGTAGTTAGGCATTGTAGGGTCGCTATTATCCATACAAGAGACAAATAACCTCCTGAGATCAAGTCCTGTGCGTAAATTTCGGCTCACGGTGATTGTCAACACAAAATCGATTCAGGCTGAAACAGAATTTCGTCCAATAGAAAATATTCCACATACATGTACCAGTATTATTTTGAACGATTTACTTTATTTGTTCGATACTTTGATGACCATTCCGATAAACCCGCATGCCTATCATATGTTTAATTATTCCATTGTTCTAATGAGTAAACAGTTAACGATTTTTTGTGTCTTTTTTCCAAATTTGTATGTGACAAATTTTGGTGTTGACCCCACAACATCGAAAATTCGTGTCTAGTTTAGTTTGTCAGAAAACTGTTTCGGTTTATGGTGTGCAAAATTGCCGCGGATGTAATGTGCCTGATATTTTCACCCAAAACAGAACATTTGACATTAAACGAGAGGGTTGTTGCGTGCAGTAATTAAAGTGTAAACACTAATTGATAGATGTTTACTTTCTTTATTACTCCATGTTAGAAATAAGAGTTTGTTTTCGTAAAATTATAACATTTTGCTATAAATAAGGCTAAGTAAAAATCTAAATATAAAATACACGAATTTGTTTTCGCATGAAGTTAGTTTTTGTGCGTCTTTGTGTTGCTGAAATGTGACTTCAGCTTTGTATTCAGTGAAAACCCAACATCAAAAGTGTTTTTTCTCATTATGTTTCCCCCGTAAACTTTGTTCGTAAATATGATGTTGACTTTTCTAAAGAGGGAGGGATCCTCAGATGTAAATCTGCGTGGCACGTGGAGGCGAGATTAAGGATTTTGAATATTAATGAGCGCTGATGACGTATTGGCGCCGAAGAAAAATACGCTCACATTTGAAAATCGATACATATGACAAAATAAAGACCTCAAAGTAATTTAAATTATAATGCGTAGATTTGGAAGCGAGTGCGTTGACTCCCACGCTTGCACGAAAACAAATAATGTAAGTCTTGTAAAAAATAAATGTACACGAATTACGGTAAGTCGTCAGTTTCGCCAGCAATGCCAGCAACTTCGTTCCATTTGTACCAATTGATTATCCGACACCTCCAAATTTAACTCATTAGTTCCCTAAACACATTCCAAGCGTAATAACTGTCAAAAGCGACAATTATCAGACACGCAGAAGAGACAGGTTTTCCGGGGGCTCCCTTCTTTAATAATCGTGCAAAAATGAGAAACCCTAAAGGTACCATCCTCTCGTTTCTCTCCGCACTTCCATTTATCTTTGGGATAAGAGAGCAGCCGCACACCGAGCCTAGGAAAACACCCTTCAGAATCCAGGAAATCCCGTAAGTCACTTGTTTATTTAATTTAAATGGATACCCAAGGGGAGCGTGAATTTTAATGTGAATTTCCGCCGTTATTGACACGAATATTGGATTTTTAAGGAAAATTTCGAGGCCTCGATGTGTGAAAGTGGATTAGTCAAGAGTGAGCAAAACATGTGCTTGCAGGATTTCTTCTACCCTAATTACACCACGGAATGACGGGAAAACACCCTCTAAGACCCGGATTCTGGGAAATCCTGAGTTAGCGGTTTAGCTAATTTAAATGCATATTCAGGGGGTGCCTGAATTTTAATGTCCGATTTTCGACAAACATGTGTACGTCGACGGCTTTCACACTAATTTAATCAACTTGTTCAGTTATCGATATTACTACTGTGCCGATAACTTTTTTAAATAGTCGTGATTCGGGAGAGTAAAAATAAAAACACACCTCATTAATCCATATTCACGTAAGTGCGCAAAAAACGCACGTGATAAAAAAGTCCGAATTGAATAACAAATGTTCAAACTAGACATTATTGTCTTGCGTTCGTAACAAATTCAAGAAACATGGCACGAACGCAGACTTTTCATCATATTGTGAACTAAAAGGCACCATTTCGTAAAGTAATAGTCTCTTGTTGCTCCCGAATCAAACGTAATATTAGTCACAGCAATACAAAGGAATTTCATATTCTTTTCAATATGTGTTTTATCTTTTCCGTTTGTAGTCGAACGCTGTTTTGATCAGGCGTGTGTGAATTTGCAGCCATTTCAGCAAGTTAAACCGAAATGTCGTTTCAATTATTTTGAGTTGTGAGTTTTAGATATTTCGCAATTTTCTAGTAGTATGCATAGAATTTATCAAGTCGAAGATCCTAATCACAAATTTACACTGAATTGGTCATGTTTTTTTTTTATATATCTGAAGTGTTATACATTTAGCTGATTCTATCAGATAGTGATATACGGTACACAATGTAAAATTGACATGTCACATTACGTCACGTATACCTTTAACTGTTTTCGTTTTAAAAATATCTCAACACTTTTATTAAATTATTTTTATTTTGGATATATGGATACTAAGGTATTAGTAAGGCCTCTTCAGAATACTACACTTTTTATAAAGATTTTACCCTGTTTTTAAATGTATATTCAATTGAAACAGTCTGGAAACATTTATGAGTTATAGGAATACCTAGCAATAAAAAAAATTTCAACAATTTTTAATACGTACACAGGACGTACGTTTATATTTTATGATAATAATTATTATATTGAATTAAATTAATGTATTATGAAACCAAAACAACATGGAATTATTAATAGAAATGATATATAGAAATGTGTACTGATTCCAGATTTATCTTCTTTCTCAATTAGAAGATAGTATTATAAAGACGTAGGCGCCACCAGTATTTTTATTGTTATAGAACGGCTATTTTCATTGTCAATTAAATTTGATTCCACTAAGGAAAAAATGCTATTTAAAAGGGATATGTAAGCAAACGCAAACAATACAGAATAGCTTTTCATTTTACTGTTTTCTTGTTGCAGATCTCTTGATTGGACTACAAGAACTGTATAAGAGACATGAAGTCAAAAATTTGTACGGGATAACCAAAGGATAACTTTAAATTCACATTATTGTCATTATTATATTTTCTAAATAAAATAAACAAAGTGCTACGTTCAAGAATAAAAACCCAACAAGAATAAGACGCTATAACACAAAATGTCATTTATATTATAGTTTAGACTTTAGAGTACGATAAAGTAACTTATTGTGTCAATATTGAAGAAATTGAAGCATGTATAATAGTTTTTTAATTGTTTTTTACGGTTTTATTACATTGTTTACTACATAGCCACCTATTTTTGATAAGGCAAATGAATGAAAACGGAAAAATAGTAGCCATACACACAAATTCGAGACCTACTAGAGACGATTTAATTTTATAGAGTATGGGTTGTTGTGAATAAATATATTCGATATGCACACTGTAACAAAATAATGAATACAATAAATTAGAGTTACTGTAGCACAAACATTTCTCCGTCTTAAAGCTTATTTTTGATAAAATAACGACAATTTTTTGAGATGACATCATCAGGTTTTCGGAGGAATGAACAATGAAATTTTATCGACCTTGTATAATCAATTAATTTAATTCGTGTTAAGTCTCATATCAAAATCTCGGAGTAAGTAGTAAATTCTCATGATCCACTTTTTCGAAAAACGTAATATAATGTTTATAAGAAATAAAAAAGGACTGCAGTTGTACAACAAATGTATGATAATACAGTAAACAATGTAATTAAAATGTTTGTTGTTGAGTCACCCAAAAGGTACCTCCTTTTTATGACGTTTAGGTTCCCGCTGAGGTTCCAAAATTGTTCAGCGATTGAATGTACCTGTCACACGTCAAAAGATTCAATAGTTGGGTGGAATTTTCTCTTTCTGGTCCCAATAGGTTCTATTTTGCGGAAATGCGTGTCGATATTAGCTTTTCTGTGGACCCTATTCGCCCGTTGGTGCGAATTGCTCAATAAAAGTGAAACGTGGCCGTAAAAAGAGCTAATATTTATGATATTTGTCGTAAAGTGGGATTAAAAGGAATGTGATTTTCCAATTACAGTCTTCTAAAATGTATTGGAACCAGGTATAATTATGTCAAAGAATACCGCTTCCAACGTTGGCTACTTTCTGCGCATGTGCAAAGTCATATCTTACCTGCCAGGTAATATAGGAGTTTGGTCGGTCACCTGTAGATATCAAACAATTTAATTTCGCAGTGATTAGTGTGAAATGTGCTTATAAAATATAAGTAGTTATGTGCGTTAGCATTATGATTTTTTGAGTTATCCGTGTAGGCGAACTGTGCAAAAAGTAAAAGTAAGTGTACAAGTTTATTGTAATAATAAAACTGTTATTGTTACTGTACTCATGGCTATTGTGTTATTATGGTCGCCACGATGGCTTTTACGTTAAACTATTACGCATATGCGGCTTAAAAAGCGTCGCAAAACGGCGATTGCGGGAGCGCTTTTTTGACACGTGTTTATATTTTGACGGTCGGTTCGATATTCCGAAAGTAGGCAAAACAGAAATCGAGTTTGCGACAACCACAAAATAATATATACATCACAGGCAGCAATCGCATTAGTATTCGACGCCCTTTCATTTTCCAAATTTAGTTCGCAACGGCTGCTATTAATATTCACGATAAATATGCAGTTTAGCCGTAAAAGTACGGACTAGCACACTAAAGAATTGTTGACATTCTTTGCATTCCAGTATGGCTGAAGGTGTGGCAAAGAGGAAATTAATCTTAGTCATTATGCGCAAACGAATCGTCCGTTTTTCGAAAAATTTTCAAAAACTGTCAAAACACGAAAATATGTGACGAATGCAGAAACAATTTCAAGATGATATACGATTTAATCTTATCAGAATGTATTAATTCTCGTCACTGATCGCGCATTTTTCAGATATTAAGTTAAAGTGCTGGAAAAATGGCGTACAGTTCGAACGGGTTTTCGGGGGATGATTTGGACCGGTACAGGGATGACGGGGGCGACAAGCCCACTTATCTCATGGAGCATTTGGCCACATTCACAGTCACCAAAGAAACGGGGATCTTGTACCCAGCTGATGGGATGCGGCGATTGCTTCAGTTAGAAAAAACAAACGGCATTTGGTCCCAGAAAATGCAACTGTGTCTGGACCGCTCTTGGGTTCTCATAATGGATTACGAAACTGGGGTAAAGTAAATCTGTTCTCATCGGTGCGATCCATTCTAGAAGTTTTGATTTAGAGTGTTATGGAACGGTTCCCAGCAAATTCCATCCATGAGCCTACAGCTTTTACCAGCCACGACCCCATGGAGATGTACAACAATATTTTAGTTTTTAATGTTGCCAACTCCAACCCTGTTCACCCCCCCGAAATGCACATATTTCAAGTAAGTTATCAACACAATCTTATCAGGACCCCATATTGGGAGCATTGTGTCATACTGATTACTTTTTTTATTGTTTGAGCAAATTTGATATTATCTTCAATTTCGCTAAAAAATAACAAGTTATTTGTAGTCATTGCGGGATGTGATTTCATCAGTATTAATACTCTAAATACTATCTCATCTACATCCACTTACAACTATAATCTACTCGAGTTTTTGGAAATTACATGACAATGCAACAAACAACGGGAAGTGCACTTGCATTACACCACTTATAAACGTAACTGGGCTAAGGGTGTTTCTTTTATTTTGTTTTAAGGAAATTAAAAATTCTCTCTGAATTTGCTTAAAAACTACTGCCAGTGCCATAAATTAACAACATATACATGACAGTAAACATAATAATTTATAGAAGTGCACTTCAATATACCCTTGACTATAAAAAAATAAAACTTCCGAAAACTAAGTATTGCTTCATGGATACATTTAGTAGCTACGTCAGTAAATTTATTTCTAATAAATTGCATTCGCATTGCAACGACATGATAAACACGGCTATAAAATTTTAAGATAACTGAAAGAGTAGTTACATGGCAACGTCTTATTCTCCTTTACTTGTAACATTTTCAAGATTATTGAATTAAATACTCACAGCAAAAAATAGTAACCTAGTTTATGTGCATTAAAACAAAACTTATGTCATGCTTTCAGTAAGTTTTACAGAGCACGCGCATACACGGACGCGTGCTTTTTCTTCGTCTTTAAAAGTGGCCTAGTTTTATAATCACACTGTACTTAGCATGTTGCATTTTTAATTAGAAGCTGAACCGTGTGACGATTCTCGTTTTTCTATACATATATGTATATATAATTTTGTTTTAATTTATGCAAAGTCGAAAATATAGTTAGAAAAAACTTCCTCTGACAAATTCTTGGTATTTTAGTTCGTCATCGATTTTATTGAAGAAAATTGACGATTGACAGAATCACAAATTTGGTACTAATTTGTCGATAACAAAATCTCAAACTCACTGGAGTAGCTGGTGACTCAGATTAAGTGACACTTTGTCAATCAATCGCACCAAAAAATTGTTTGCATTCAATAAAGAAAATCACTTCAGTAGTGTAAATATGAGACATTCCAGCTCATGCAACTTTCACAGGCACTTGATGGCGTCCACAGTATAACTTAGCTTTCCATTTTCCTCAAGAATTGTCACTTTGTAAAAACAATCTTCAACAATGAAAACATATTAAAGTTTTTAAATTATAAAGAAAACCGATAATTTTTCCTAGAAATCAGTATTTTTTTAGACAGTTTTTTCGTTGTAAAGGACACTTATTTTTATCGCATTTTTATCTGTTAATTTCGAGAATGAACGAAAAATATGTAATTACATAGATCCTATTAATGTTCGCATTTTTTTTTAATTATAAATCAAGATAAGGTAGTACTCTAATCACCGGGAACTAGTTGCCATAAAACAAACAATGATACCCCGAGAAAGGTCCGATTATAAATTATTCCATATATATCACACCGTTATATTATAAGTGATTATTAAATAATTATAGGCAGATCAATTAACGGAAGGCCTAATTGCTCATAAATCAGAAAAAATGTCAGTTGTTCATAATCATTTAATTGACTTCTAACAGTTTAAAATGTTTCGATTGTTTAAAATAGTACGATGAAGTCATCTTGGCTTTGTATGCCTTTTATCGAGTCACTTTAAAATGACAGTGATCTATTTTGAAAGAAAAGTAGTTATTTTGCTGGCATTTCCATTGTAATACATAGTTTGTTAGGTTTTTGAACGTATTTTTATAAACCTGTCAAGATAAGATCTATAAAATCTAATCAATCATCACTTAGACTGCTGACTGCAAATCACAATTAGCTCAAATGAATAATCAAATCCCGTCCATATTCAGTAGCGATAAGCAAAACCGTCAGTTGTTGTACGTAACATTTCAGTGTCAGAGCATATCCGCCCAGGACCTCGTTGAAGACTTAAAACAACTGAGGATGGGTAAAACTTTAACGCGAAGCCGCAAAAGCAGCATACCGCCCCCAACCCACAAACCGCCTCATAACATAATAAACACAACGCGGGATCCCCGCGATTACCACGGCTCAGACTCCGAGCTCACGGCAAACAACGACGACTCCAGCTCTACCACCAGCGAGAAATATGAACGGGACGTAACCATCCTCAACCACTGCTTCGACGACATCGAGAAGTTCATCGCGAGGCTGCAGCACGCGGCGGCGGCGGCCCGCGAGCTGGAGCGACGGCGGCGAAACCGCAAGAGCAAGAAACGCGACATGGGGGACGGCATGCTGACCATGCGGACCAAACCACCCCCGGAGAAGGAGTTCATCGACATTTTCCAGAAGTTCAAGCTGTCGTTCAACCTCCTGGCCAAACTCAAGGCGCACATCCACGACCCCAACGCCCCCGAGCTGGTGCACTTCTTGTTCACCCCGCTGGCGCTGATCGTGGAGGCGTCCCACGACACCTACCAAGACTCGCAGCTGCCGCGGAAGGTGGTGGCGCCGCTGCTCACCCGGGAGGCGGTCAATCTGCTGATGAACTGCGTGACGAGCAAGGAAACCGAGCTGTGGCACTCCCTGGGAAACGCGTGGCTTATACCCAGGTAACGTGCGGGAGGTGGGGGGATTTGTCTCTTGCTCGGGTCACACCAGTAGCCGGTTGTTTTTTTCGGTCTGACATTGGCAAGGGTGGAAAAAGACGTTGCGATGGAAAAACGGGTGTTGGTTTTCGTGGGGTGGGATAGTGAGTCATTAATGGAGTGAGGCGGCGTTTTGCGAAATTCGATACTTGTGGAATTCCAGGAACAGTGCGAAGTGGCGAACTTGACTAAAAATCAATAATATAATCTCAGATTTTTCCAATTTGCTAATCCCGTAAAGGTCCATTATATCACACGTCGAGCAAATTTTATTCGTCGCTTAGCTAAACAGAACAAGGGCTGTAAAATGTATTTTAAATTTTGAGGACCTGCCGAGGGAAACAAGCTCGCAAGTGTATTACAGTTCGAGAATATCAACTAGCTATCGCTGTCTCTTTTTATCGTACGCTCTTTATGAGTGACGGATTTGAGCTTAGCAACCCGATCGTCAACTCCCGCCAGGGTCCTGGAATTAATCCGTTATGTTTTTTATATTTTTACACAGCGTGTTTTTAACAGTATAAGATAAAGGTGCCACAGCACAAAAGAAACTCGTAAGAGTGGTCCTTTTGTCCGTAAAGATACAAACACTTTTCTGAAATGCACTCGTTAGTCACAACATAACGAAATTACTTTCATGCCAATTCAAGACTGAAATTCCATTGAAAGGAGGTTTCCACGTTCAATGGGTTTGTACATTTTAGTGTAACAATGATTAATAGTGCCACTCTTTACATCGTAAACGAATAATGGCGGACGATAAGAGGCGATCTTAGCCCACCACTTTGTGTTTTTTATACATACTTCAATAATATTATCTCCGACCGAAAAAGGGATAAAGAAGTCATATGGAAATGGTCGAATTTCTCACGAGATTTACCCGCAGAGCTAATATAATACAGTCGCAGGACGAAAACCGGCCGTATCGGTTTTAGTGCCTAAACTAACAACACCGGATCACTCTGCCTTAGCCGGTGTAATATAAAATCGTTCTCGTGCTTTTTCACAGAGTTTTTTTGTTTGTCTTTGTATTTATGACCATGCCTCTGGCCAAAATCGGTTCTTTCAAAGTCTATGTGCTTATCTTTTTGGGTGTGCCAACACCTCGTCTGGATGTTCTGAAAATGGCATTATTTTGTCACATTTTCCCTTTCCATTTCGTTATTAAGCTCCTCCTACGCGCATCTCCCGATGGGAGGAGCAACACGACTGAAATTGTCAAAAAGTTTCGAACTTCGTTTTCATTAAAATTTCTTCTACGGAATTTGTAATAATAAAACTGTTTCCTTTAGAATAAGTTTTTAATTAAAGTAATAACTAGAAGCGAATAATTGAATACTAAGAAATAAATTTATAAATCAGCCCATAAACGTTAATAAGAATTGTAATTGTCTGAATTTAAAAAAAGTTAGTGACCGAATCTAATTAAATTCTTGAAGTAAGAGCAAACAAAACAGCTTAAAATGGTAGTTCAAACAATCGGGATTTTGAAAGTGTTTTTTATTACGCATTTTGAGACCAGGAATGGTAGTCGTAAACAAGTGGCAGTGACACTTCCATATTGGTCTGATTGGATGCATCTTTCCCAAATCAGACGTTTATTGCCTCGATTTACCCTATATTTAACTATGACAATAAAAATCTCCGTTTGTGTTGTCTATTTTATATTGTCTGATTAACCAATATCTAATTTGAAGAATGCATAAACCAAACATTTTACAACTTACGAACACTCGCAACTCACATTTTAGTGATGAGTTAAATCTTACAGCGACATGACATGGAAATCCTTTTCCGTGAAACTTCAGTCTTGAATTTGCAGGAAATTGAACATGCGGTTCTAAATTTCCCTGGCGATTTTTTCGTATAAAACGCGTGATTTATTCTGTGAAATATGCGCAACTTGAATTTACTCACCGGGAACCACCGACTGCGCCATAATCGTTCCACCTTTCGAAAAAATTAAGTTTTTTTCATTCTTTTCAATTTCCCGACTTCTCGTTTCAGAGACCAATGGAAAGGTCACGTCCCTCCCTATCACCCGATTTTCATGGACGGCTGGTCCCCCGATTATCCGGTAGTAGACGAATTAGAAGCAAACAATGACAACAAAAATTACAATGACGGGCCATACAGTAGCGATTACAATGACGATTATCCCAATCACCGAGACATGTTCATTTACGATAAAAGCACGGAATCCCACCATCAAAAAATGGAGCCCGAGAGAGATCTTCCGCCGAATTTGGAGAGCACTCGGAGTGATATTTCGGTGGATTCCATTGAGAGAAACGGCGAAGATCGCGGATTCGGTCGCAGTCAGGACAGCTTTTTGGACGATCTGCAAGCGAGAGGGGCTAATATTGTTGTAGTAACTTATCCCAGGACGGCTAATAATGACAAGGAGTTGACAGTCGTGCGAGGAGAGTATTTGGAGGTACGAAAACGGGTAGAGAAATTTCGAGCACCTGACTGAAAGCAGGGAGGGATTTGGGCGACACACGAGCGGTAATTTTTAAGGGTCCGGGAAGGTTTGCTGATTCGCTGATATAAAAAACGGGGGTGCTTATATCCCGGATGGTTCGAGTTAGGAGGTAGCGGCCCGGATATTCGTAATGAAATGCTTGCTGCTTAAGTCAGAGTTGTGAAATTTCGTTGGAAGAGGTACAGCGGGGTGCTTAGAATTGCGGATGGGGATTAGGCATTAACGTGTGATTATAGAGGTAGGAAAGCCCATCCGTGATTATAACTCCCGCAGTGTATTGCGGCCGAATCATCAAAGTTTCAAGCTAAGATGAATCGGCATGAATTTTTAAGCGTTAATTAGCACTGAAAGAGATTTGTTAATGCGGCTTGCCTTTGTGGAGGTTCGTGATTTATGAATTTGTAGATTTTGGATGACAGTCGCAAGTGGTGGAAAGCTAGGAACAGCCGTGGCCAAGTTGCTCATGTGCCTCACACAATTGTGACGCCGTATCATCATTCTGGCGGAAATGATATTTTCAATAATCCTTTATATACGACACACAATAACTACAATCGGAATCGAGCGGTAAGTTCTTTTTCTCGTATTTAGTGCGGAATTAATTCTTTGTGAAGGATTCTCCGGACCGGTTTAGCGGAGGTCACAGTCCGAACACCCCCGAGCATGTGAATGCTCCCGTTTCCACAACTTCAGCTGATTGGGTTAGAAAAGAAAGACTTGGTAAGAAAGGAGAATTTCGTTACTTCTAAAGCACAGTGCAGGTCATTTTATTACCACATCCTTCGTCTGCTTCTTGTATAATACTGTTTTTATGTTGTTTTGTACATTGTTATTGTAAAAGTTGTTAGGCGTTGGCTTTTATTTTATCAAAGACTATTATAATTATGTAACAGGCTATACATTTAACTTATTTTCTCGTATATTATACATATTTTAACATATATGTTTTAGTGGCATCCATGTTTTTTTTGTGTATGTGTGTTTTTTTTTTTGTTTTGAAGGGTCAATCCGTCCATATGTACATTGTATATAATTTTGTATTTTTTATATGTCATTTTATAAATTTGTACTAACGTCGTCATATCTAAGAGTACCTATCCATCATTAATGAAAAATAAATTTTCTACCATATTGTGTTGCTTTGTTTGTGTTGTGGCTTTCCCATGCTTAAAAAACGCATTACTAATGACAGGTTTTGTGTGATAATCGCTTAGTTCAAATTTTAGCCAAGGTCGGTCGGCTCCGGAATGAATATTAAATTATCCACTTTTTCACCTTACAACGGCGATAATTAAAATGAAACTGGATACTCACAATTCCCAAATAAACACATAAACTAATTTAGGTATCTTAGTCATTCGCTCGTTTCTAATTAGAATCTCCGTAAATAATTCTTGTAAATTCGACTTTGATCATTAGGTACACCTATTCAGAGATAATGAATTATAAAATAATAACGAACCTGAATCCGCCTACATGAGTACATCATATTATCCGCGTCCTGGATTTTTCTTTGAATCCATTTTATGAATCGTGGCTTAATTAAATTAGAGGCGATAGTAGACACCCTTTAATAAGAAAAATATGCGCCGCTACTTTTCCACTGCACAATGTCGCAAATTAAACGAGACGTGGATCAATAATTCGTTATTAAAGATGGTCGAAAATCTGTCAGCGAACGTTATCTCATGCAAATAGGTGCAGCGTCCTTGGAGACGTAAAACAAACTGTGGAAGTTTTCCCAGATAAAAATTGAATCGGTTTTATTGGCGAATTAATCACGAGATAGGTCATTTCGAGAAAATGGCACTAGGATGATGAAAGACTATAAAAATGTGATCAACGGAACGATCCATTATAAATTTATGTCTGGGTTTACGAAAGCCTGCGGCGTAGATGGGCGAAGTTTTGTTTCAAAAATTTAATAGGTCTTAAGGCAAGTGCAAACAAACAGTGCGGACGTAATAATTATAAGAGAATTTTGCACGAGCGAATAAACGCGGGGGTGTTCTCATTAAATTCTGAATCCTGATTGAGTCAAACATCGCATTTATCAACTCGAATGAAAAATGTAATTACACGATTTTCCAAGTGAAAGTTTATTTGCTGAATACACACGGGGCCTTAATTGGAATGGCATAAAGGCTACTCTAAATATAGATAAAACTAAGCAATTAGGAATGTATCGATCTGTTGTTTGGGGACATTCTTAATTGACACTGCGGAATTATCAATTTTAATAATTATGTTTGCTTTCGTCCGGTTCACTCTTAACTGCACCGTTGTTGCCAGAGCCGTGCTTGAATAATTCACAATTGTCAACCCTGGGCTCGCTCCATTTCCCTCTTTATTGATTATAAATCCTGCAATATCACCTCCAGTTTTGGCCGATTCTTTCCAGTGACGAATGCCTGTCATTGCGTAAATGCAAATCTCTAATCTGCACTTGCGTCAACTTAAAAGAAGATTATCGTATAATTAAGGCGATAATTTTTGTCGCTTTTGTGTGAATCGTCGTGTCTTCGCACGAAATGATAACGTATCTTCTTAGAAAATACCAGCGCGCCACCGCCCCCGGCCCCCCCACCGCCCCCACCCCCGGTGATTTCCGCCCCGGTAACGCCAGTCACAAGTCTTAAAAGATCACCATCGATTAAATCGACAGCGACTACAGACAAAATGCAAGAGGAACTGAGAGACGTATTATCGTTGTTCAACGAGAGAAGACAAAAGTCTCACATAGAGGTCCACCAGACGCCAGAGGTCTATATTAATCAGAGGTCCAACCCCGAAGAGGTGCAGAACTGGCTCAAAATCAAAAACTTCGATGCTGGCATCGTTAGTAGATTTAAAGGACTTGCGGGATATAAATTGTTCGAGTTAAAGAAGTCGGAGTTGGAGAAGGTTTGCGGCGCCAAGGAGGGGGCTAGGTTGCATTCGCAGCTGAATATACAAAAGAGCGTCAGCGGGGTAAGTATCGGTACGATTTCTAAGGAAAAAAAAGCTACTTTTGTTTTTTTGACGTCTAGTACCAGACTATTAGGAGTTCAGAGCTACAGGCTATCTTGGCCAAGGCGAGACAGAGAATTGAGGAGCCGAGTGGATAACAACCCCATTAAGATGCCTCTGATAAGGATCGTATTATAACATAGAATTATTTGATTTGAGAGATAATGCATATATATATTGGTATATCACCTAGTTAGATTTAAGAAACTTGAACATAAGTGTTACTACTCTATCATGTGCAGGTTGTATTTTTAATTTTTTTGGTCTTGTGCTTCGAGTATAATATCGGTAAGTACTGTGTTAATTACTATTGATTATTGATTAATTATTAGTAATAAAGTCGAGGATATTTTTAATTATAATAACGAAATAGAAAATATGTGATGCGTTTTTTATGTAGATGTTACAGACTGGCACCTTTACTACCAAAATCAAATGCAAACGAGCATTAAGTAAATAAGTTAAAAATAAGTTAGAAAGAACGTTTCTTAACAATATACGTTGATACGTACAAGTAAAAAATTGTTTTAAATATATTTATGGATTCATTCAAACGAGTTATATGTATTTATATGTGTATTTAAATTCTTGCCATATTTACGACGACCAGTCGTGTTTAGTTCCTTAATGTTTTCGACTGTGGATCTACATTTTGTAAACAACATTAATAAATTATATCAGTTATGTGTGCATTTATTTAGTTTCATTGAGTCCGCCGTACAAAATTATCGATCAAACTTGCCGTGTGTGGAGAAATGTGAGTGGCCGCTACTTACTTTTATACCAGGGAATACAAGCTAAAGCTGTTAAAGTGAACGATAACATTAATACACGTTATTTAGCTAATCGATAACGTTTACTGTTAATAAGAGATGTTTTAGCTAAGTTTAGTCGGAAAAATAAAATCAGCGTTTCTGAGAGCACTATCAAAGACGATGACTAGTCGGACGGAGGATTTCAAAATGATGTTATTGACATCATAGATGACGTCACATACCGAAATAACAATGACCTTTATAATGCAAAATGTTAATACCTATCCACTAATGTATTATTCATGACGGCGGTTAATGCGTTTATGAATATAAAACTGAACATAATAAAAATCATCACAAGTGATCAGAATTATCGATCTCTGTAATTTCTCTTTGGATGGATGATATTTTCTGACGAGAGATAAAAATAAGATAAAAAAAGTATTACGCAAAATTGTAGATCCAGCAGAGCTTATGTAATTAAAATATTGTATTAAAAAACAAACATCGCAAAAGGGGATTTGTAAGTTATTTATTTCAGTAGAGAGTTTAAGCAGAGGCTTAGTCCGAAACATGGATATTCTATTGTATGAGTGAAATAGTGTACGTGTTTGGTTTTCCAACAGTGATTAAAATAAGCACGTCATAACCAAAGTTTACGACATTTTGTCATATAAATGACGACACTATGTAAAATTAGTAATGCGTGGCTGTTATTACTTATCTTTCGTGTGTCAAGAATTTTAAAAAGCTCATTCAACCATGTCTCCCTAATAAGCGCACAATAAAATATTTAAGTCTACAGTGCATCATAAAAAATAATGGTGGATATATATATATTATTATTGAAATGTCTATTTACTCAGTAAGATAATGGCATAATAATATTGACATATCATAAATAGGGTTTGTGTGTCAGTTAATGAATGAAATGCGTTCGACGTATGTGAATTTGTGATTTTTCTTCAGCGAGGCGTAAGTATTGTTTTTAAGTGTAAAGTTTGTACGATAGTGTAGAAACGAAATGGGTAGGTTCAGGTCGCCGTGGATATGCAATCGATAATATAGCTTCTGCCGCCGCCGCCGCCGCTGCCGCCGCCGCCGCCACCGCTCTTTCCATTCTACCAGAAAACGAAAGCTCTGTCTGTGCGATTTTTAACGAGAACCCCATTTAAATTATCGGCACTCATACATGAATAGAACCCGCATTTCTAAAGGTGTAGCTTTTGCCTATTTTATTCCTGTATCTACCTACCTAGTTTCCGAGTAAAGCGTTCGTAAAGATCGACGCCAAAGAAACTGGAACTGTATGAGTAATAAAAAAAATTATCTCGTCTGTGTGACTGTCGGGTTACATCATCGCTTAGTAATAGTAATAATAATAACATAGAAATGATAAAAAACGTAAATAATCGACACAACTTCGATTGTTTTTTTTTCGTTCTTCTTTTTTTTTTTTTTTTGGTTTATTTGAACGAGTGACGCAAAGGTGGAAATCGAAAGTACGACAATTATTAGGTATTATTAGGTTAGTCGTAGTGGAATGAATCTAGGCCGTCGAATTTTGGGTTAGGTTGGGTACGGACCGGTGGTGCGTCGGGTAGACAGTGCACGTATGGTGGGACCGTAGGTGGTTGGATAATCGGGTGGCGCCACGGTGTACCCCGAGTCCCGAGTGGAAAGTGTCAGTTCGCTGATCGGCGCCGCGGCTCGACACCACCGTCGCTACCCCTTGTCTTCAGCGGTGTGGTCGTATGGTCGTAGTGGCGTGCTTTCGGGGTGGAGTTCTCAAAATGTCGAGTCGTAGGTGGTGGTAGAGACAGGGTGAGCACCCAGCATTGAGGACTGAGCGTGGGATTGACCGCATCGCATGCATGGATCGTCGTAACCTTTCGCTGGAGGTCTGGGGCGCTTGCTTTAGCGCGGCAACTGATAGAGGGCGTCGGCATGGCAATCGTTGTGCGCGTGTTGTTTAGGCGCCATCGCAGTTCCCATCGGGCTCATCGTGGCTACCTACCACCAGCATTGAACAGACAGAGGCAGCGCCCCTAACGGCGAGTCGAGACCATTACGTTCGGGACTGTTAATGTCCACCGGCCAGAGCGGCTCGGAGTGGTGCGAGCGAGTTGAGTTTGAGTGTGTGTAGTGCCTGGGTGCGTTTCGGGCGCCCAGATCCTGCTATCTACTAATCGGGCGACAAATGTTAACTTGACCGTCACTACGGAACATCTAGACGGAGTGGACTGTGACAAGGGCTCGGGGCGACCGCTACCGCAGCCGGGACTTATTGGACCAAGGCACAAAGTAAGTTTGAATGTTGTCGTCCCGGCCCGCCCGCTCGCCGTCGTCGTCGTCTAGAAGTTCGGAAGAAATAGGTCATACGGCCTAACTAACAGCCGGTGGTGGGATGGGCCGAAAGTTCGTGGGGTGCGCCGAGGTAGCGGGTCGGAGCCGAAGAGCGCGCGGAAGCGGCGGCGAGACGACTTGCAGTGGCAAGTTAGAGGCAAGTGGCGCTCGTCGTCGCAGCTTCACGACGCTCTCGCCGCTCGACTCCACTCATGTAGGGTCGGTGCGAGTCGCTCGTGATGACGTCACACGCAACTGCCCAGCCGACACCAGTGTAAACTAGTATGGTGCGTTAAGGTGCTGACCTTTTAACTTGGGGGTCTTTACGAACCGTCGTGGCCCATCCTCGGCCTTTATTCAACTGGGATGGCCGGGATGTGCGGACACCTTCGCTAGTTCTGCCGGCCGCCGGTCCACTCTCCGTCGGGTCAGGATCTCGGATTTGTTGATTATTTGCTGCCACCGCATACCTAATATTGTGAGTAGAGCGAAATCGATCGCCAGCGCCGACCGAGTGGCGGTAGTAGTATGAAGCGGTCTGCATGACGTCATTTATCCATGAGATTCCTGACTAGCATGCATTATAAATAACCTCAATACCTCCTTTAATATCGAAAAGCCGAGAGCCGCCAGCGTATAGGTATAGCCGCTCACCGGCCGGGGTCATATTCGCATGCAGGTGTGCACCTCGACCGAAACGGTTACGCCACACACCATAAACTTCTTCAAAATTTCCCACTCTTCCGCGTCCATCCACCGAGACATGGCCAGGCCGGACCAGACCTCCTCGACACGCCGTTCGGTCTCGCTTGACGTGACTCACGATTACTCAAGATCCTCGTTATTAGGCAACACTCGGTTGGATACAACGAGCCTTTATTTCAACTCGGAAAATGCTAAGCACACGTCTTGTTCCAACCGGATCCCCGCATTTTCGGCCAAAACCATAAAATTCTAACTTTAGCTGTGCGCGGCTTCCTGCTTGTTCGGTTATAATCACCGGAATTACGGTTTGATAATAAAAATACTAATAACGTTGCAGTTTATTCGAGCTCGTAGGTATTGTCAGTCTTTACGATTTGTTGGCGGTGTTGGGCTAATCGTCCTTGCGACGCCGTCGTCGATTTGAGGCGCCACAGAGACGAACGCCGCTGTTGTGCCCTCAGTCGCCGTTCATCTTTCCCGAGTCCCAGATATATACAAAATTAACTGAAGCTCAATCAGAGTGTCGTCTACGTCACGGGCACTGTATTTCGGCGTGTTTGTGTGTGAGTGAACGAGGTTACATGTGGCGGCCGAACTAATACGCGCAGTCTGTACGACTCCACACCGACAGGTAATAATCGAAAGTTTCGAAACATAGAAATCGCCACCATCAAGGACCGGACCAGCTGTTCGTCCAGCACACGCTCGCATCGTCGTGATCTATCCCCGGACCGTTGTCGTGAACTCGTGACGCCGGCGTCGCCGCCGTCGTCGTCGTCGTCGTCGTCGAGGTTCAGTTTAGGCCGGTGTGTTGCGTGTCTCGTGTGCTCGACTGCCAGCCAGACCTACACGTCTGATGCCGACCTAGAAAACGACCCACGCGCCCCTCTTATATCGTATTTGCAATCCGAAAACGATTTCGATTCGGTGCGCCCTTCACATTGTGATTTCATCACATTGTTTTCTTCAAATGTGATTGGAACCGTCTCTAATTCCCTCCTCTCTCAGGTGACGTACCTGGATTCCTCGCAATTCTCGAATTCGTTTGCTTGCCCCGCCGACGATCAAATTTTCCTCGTCTGCCGCTCGCTCCGTCGACGGAAATTAATTACAACAATTTGTCCATTTCGAACTAACTTATTTTTAAGTGCGGCCGGAATGGACGTGACCCTTGGGAACGCTCGATTCAAGAGAACGGACCACGCGTGTTGTTGATATTATGTTGTGTGTTGTCTGCGCCCGTGGCGAACCGACGCCTATGGCCTGCTATTAAAATACAATAATTTGGCACAAAAATTCTCCTGTTATCGTCGATTCTTTAAACTGCCTACCTACTTCACCTTCGCCTCTAAACTTAACAATGACTAACGCGCCGATTTACATTAGCGTAGAATGTTGTTTATGTTTATTATGTGCAATAATGAGTATTTATTTATTCGGTTGCGGTGAAAAGCGGAATCCTGTGAAGTTAGCTGTAAACGGTGAAACGGCGTTTACGCTATCTGTAACGAACTATGTATAAAAAGCGAGTAAAACGAGACGATAAATAAAAGGGGAAAAAGAGATTTTTTTTTGTCTCGAGGGTTTTTCACGATCGCTTTCGAGCAGGCGAGTTTGAAAATTTGTTGGGTTGTTAGTACTGTGTGTCAGATCAGTGGCGCAGCGTGTTCGTGATTTGTTAGAAATAGGTGTATTTTTGGAAGCTTTCTCGTAATTAACGAGCTTAATTAGAAGGGGTTTTAACGATTCGGGTCGAAATGAGAGCTAATTGAACATTGTTTAAAATCGGTGAGTCTTGGTCGACTTCAGAGAGCGAATATTTAGGCTATTAAAATATTTTAGGTTATGTGAAATTTTATCGGTTTTTAAAGGCTTATTTATAATTATAGACGATATATTAGCCGTTACTGTCTGTGTAATGCGTTATAAATTATTGTTACCCGTCAAACAATATTAACTTGTGTTCAAGTCGAGTTTTCCTCCCGTCGTGAAAAGCGCCTCTTAAATTTACCCATGTGGGAGTTGATAAAATTTCCCGAACTAATCAAAATACCCGTACCGACGGTGAACCGGTTATTGGTAGATTAATATCGTGTATTTCAATAAAATTAGGCCTGTTTGTTGATGTTTTTATGCTAATAAATATTATGCGAGTGTGTATTTGTAATATTGGGTGATTTATTAATAGATCTAGCTGTGAGAAATGGCTACGATAGACGGCCGTCCCGCGCAATATGGAATTACCCTGAAACAGTTACGCGACCTCATGGAACATCGAGGTCGCGAAGGAGTAAATAAAGTAACTGAATATGGAGGAGTCCAAGAAATTTGCAAGAAACTATACACATCGCCCAGTGAAGGTAATTATTTTCCAGTCTTGGCAACACGCGGAAATGTACGAGGGGACGCTCCTAAGGGACGTGCCGACGCTTTCCATAATTCACGCGAAGGGAAACAACCGAAATTAAAAATCGTTGGAATATTTTAGGTCTTAGCGGGTCACAAGTGGACCTAGAACACAGAAGAGAAACATTTGGATCAAACTCAATTCCTCCCAAACCTCCAAAAACTTTTCTTCAATTAGTATGGGAAGCTTTACAAGACATCACTCTTATTATTCTTGAAGTAGCAGCCATTGTATCTTTAGCTCTTTCTTTCTATAGGCCGCAACAAGAAGAACTCGGTAAGTTACGTCCAGAATTCGTCTTCATGGTTTAGCTCTCCGTTTCCAGTTTTCGACGACGACGAAACTAGTCATGGTTGGATTGAGGGTTTGGCCATTTTAATATCCGTTATTGTAGTAGTGCTAGTAACAGCATTTAACGATTATACAAAAGAAAGACAGTTTAGAGGTCTTCAAAGTCGGATTGAGGGAGAACATAGATTTGCTGTGATTCGACAAGCAGAAGTTAAACAAGTTTCCGTTAGCGATATAGTTGTAGGTGATATTTGTCAGATAAAATACGGTGATCTTCTACCAGCCGATGGTATATTAATCCAGTCCAATGACCTCAAGGTAACAACCATCTTTCTCCTGTTTTTTTTTTTCGCCCCCCCGTCACACTAATTCTTCCACAGGTGGATGAATCCTCGCTTACGGGGGAGTCAGATCACGTTAAAAAGGGCGAACATTTCGATCCCATGGTTTTGTCTGGCACCCACGTAATGGAAGGTTCAGGAAAAATGCTAGTAACCGCGGTCGGCGTCAATTCGCAAGCAGGTATCATCTTCACACTGCTGGGGGCAGCTGTCGATGAACAGGAAGCCGAAATCAAGAAAATGAAAAAAGGTATGTTCATCTGTACACCACAGCATGTTACTGTCAAATGTCTGATCTCTGTACCCCCATTTAACTGTCAGCAAATTCAGGTGCCTGTAACCAAAGCAGAATTTTCATTATTCGCCAACGTTTCATCAAAGCTCCCTCAAATATTTGATTTCGACCGCCAGATAAGCTCCAAAATGAAAAAATTTAATATTTCCGTTGCCGCAACGTAAAGTGTTTTTCAAGAGTAATCCTTTTAATTTTTAATAAGGACTCTTCACAAAGGAACAAATACATTTATTACATCAAAAGTACGCTTTTAAATCAACACAAGTGTCTCTGCCCTTTTTCTCTTTTATCTTCAACAACTAATATTTATTTTTTTCCTCAACCGGGCGCGATATTAATTTTTCCGCCGGGTCTAAATATATTGTCGGTTTCGAAAATTAAAAAAAGGGAGTTTAATCTAGTGAGGTAAAAATACGAGAGACGCACGAAACCCCATTGTAGAAATTTAACTTTTTCTTTTTTTTTTAACGGATCACGGTTTTGTAGACGTTGCGCAAATTAAGTGTCTGGAAAACTGCAACTCGATACGTTGTTTAATGATAAAGATATTTTTAAACATGTGCTCAAAGTTACGTAAAAACAGATAAGACGTGTAATAGCGCAGGAAAAAAATACTTAACATGAGACACCATTTACTAATCCATAGGTTAGTGTACGTACGCATGCGTACCAACCCGCGATTCAAAACGGTCTACTTTTTTACGAAATTTCGGAACGGTATCGACGAGCTCGAGCGCACAAGTTTGTGCACCGGACAACAAAAGTATCGATTTTTTCTTGACCTACGCAGAGGCTCAAACTCGATACCGTACTTTCGATTTTATGGATCTCCGAATTGTTTCCTAGAAGCCGCTTTTATTAACCTTCAAATCAAAGCAATGTGTTTTTCTTCAAGTGCATATTTTCTTGTAAACTATTTATTAGTTTCGCATTTTTTAAAGTCGGACGTGTTTGTTTCATGGTGTTCCATTTATAAACGGTAGCGCAAGATTACTGGGGTTGTTAGTTCTGTTGTTTAAAAATTAAGAGGGGTTACTTTTGACCGTGGACACTCACTGCTTCGAATAGTTTTTATGGTTCGAGGGTTGTTCGGTGGTGATCGATTTCGTCGTTTTTATCGGTTACGAAAGACGTGGAATTGTACTGGCAGTGGTTGGTGTAAATAAATAAATAAACAGCGTGGAAAATTCGATAAGTGCATGGCATAATATGCGGAAATGGAGAAGTTTGGCAGCGGTGCCTGCAGCTTATTTAAAGTAAATAAATAGAATTTTCGCGGATTTAGTCGTGGGTTTATCGGTAACGGAGTATTGAGTGTCCACCGGTGGTGTATTTTAGAAATTTTTATGTGGTGCTGGTGCATTTTCCGACGTGGAGAAGTGTTGTTTTTCTGGTTTAAAAATAAGTAATAAAATAAATTGTCCTGCTGGGAATGTTCTGGTAATCGAACTGAAAATGCTGGCAGCGCATTAAATTTAAATGTCATTATTACTGTTAGTGCACACCCTTTAAATGTTGTTTAATAATAGTTTCCTCCAAGTTGACAGTGCATTGCAGATGGATACACAATCTACCTAACTTACTATTCCACAATTCCAGTATATATTTTTCTTTCATTTTTCGCTTGATGGCGTAAACTTTTTGAAAATGTTTTTTGATTTTGTGGTGGGAGTTGGTCGTTTCCGCCATCAAGCGTTTGGTATTTTACCCATGTCAGGACTTGGGAGTGTTTTTGAGATTGCTAATGTTCTCCTTTTGCATGTGTTTTTGTACAGAAGCTAAAAAGCAGCGGAAGAAGAAAAGCTTAACAGGTGAATAAATTTTTTCTATTTATATTTTGATTTAAACTTAAATTTAAAAATAATCTTTGATTAAATAAATAACGTTTTGTTTTAATGAAATTTTTTAAAATAACAGTTTTAAATGTTGAATTAATATATAATAACTAGCATGCTATTAATCAGTGAGTGTTAGGTTTGTTTTTCCTAAATTTTGCTCCTCGCCACAAATAATAACAGGAACCAATGTCGCTGTAGGTGCAGACGATGACAATGTCACCGGTAACAGTCACATGAATTCTCCCGCACCGGTGCCGAATAAACTTAACGAGAGTCAAGATGCGAAAGAGAATCACGTAGCATCGGCGCCATCTTCGGGAGACAGTCATAAGAAAGAAAAGTCAGTCCTTCAAGCAAAACTAACAAAGCTTGCCATTCAGATTGGTTATGCCGGCTCAACGATTGCCGTTCTCACCGTCGTCATTTTGATTATTCAGTTTTGCGTTAAAACGTACGTCGTGGAGGGAAAGTCATGGGAAAAAAATCACGCAAGCCATTTGGTACGCCATCTCATTATTGGTGTGACTGTACTGGTTGTTGCCGTACCGGAAGGTTTGCCTCTCGCTGTTACGCTTTCTTTAGCTTATAGTGTAAAGGTAAGTCCGTCGCACTAGTGTCGCAATGATCGTCACAGTTCGTACATTCCAGAAAATGATGAAAGATAACAATTTAGTGCGACACTTGGACGCTTGCGAGACCATGGGTAACGCAACCGCCATTTGCTCCGACAAAACCGGAACCCTAACAACCAACCGTATGACCGTCGTGCAGTCTTACATCTGCGAGCAGTTGTGCAAATCGATGCCCAAATTTTCGGATATTCCCGCCCATGTCGGAAATGCGATCCTCCAGGGTATTGCGGTCAACTGTGCGTACACATCACGAGTCATGGTGAGTTCATCCGAAAACCCACGAAAGCCCTCTAACAGTTTCGTCCGAAGCCCCCCGAAGATCCCACGGAACTGCCGAAACAGGTCGGCAATAAAACTGAATGCGCCCTGTTGGGATTCGTTCTCGGTCTAGGCAAAAATTATCAAACGATTCGTGATGATTATCCAGAGGAAAGTTTTACCCGTGTTTATACATTTAATTCCGTAAGAAAATCTATGAGCACTGTTATCCCCAGACCGGGTGGTGGATATAGATTGTTCACAAAAGGTGCTTCAGAAATGATTTTAAACAAGTATGACGCCGCCGCGTCCGCAACCACATCTCTTACTTGAACACGTTTCAGGTGTGCCTTCATTTACGGTCACGACGGCCGTCTAGAAAAGTTCACCAGAGACATGCAAGAACGTTTGTTAAAACAAGTTATTGAACCGATGGCTTGTGATGGTCTTAGGACTATTTGTATCGCTTTTCGCGAATTTGTACCGGGCAAAGCTGAAATTAATCAAGTGCATATAGAAAACGAACCGAATTGGGAGGACGAAGATAACATTGTGAATAATTTGACATGCCTTTGTGTTGTCGGGATCGAGGATCCTGTGCGGCCAGAAGTACCTGACGCTATCAGGAAGTGCCAGAAGGCTGGCATCACGGTCAGAATGGTCACAGGCGATAACCTCAACACAGCCAGATCTATCGCCACCAAGTGCGGTATTGTCAAACCTAACGAAGATTTCCTCGTTATTGAGGGCAAGGAGTTCAACAGACGCATCCGAGATAGCACCGGCGAAGTAAGACATTCGCAACTCGAGTTAAGACGGAAACGAATCGCTCGCTGACATCGAGCGTCGGTTTTTCCGTCTTGATTTTTGCGCGGTATCGCTCTTCTGACGATTTTTAATTACAGGTTCAACAACACCTACTCGATAAAGTATGGCCTAAACTCCGCGTGCTCGCACGTTCTTCACCAACTGACAAATACACCTTAGTAAAAGGCATAATCGACAGTAAGGTTACCGAGAATCGGGAAGTGGTCGCCGTGACGGGTGACGGTACCAATGATGGTCCGGCGTTGAAAAAAGCCGACGTTGGTTTTGCAATGGTACTTTTCAATCGCTACGAACTTTACCCATTTTGAGTTTTTTTTTTCTTCGTAGGGTATCGCCGGTACCGACGTCGCAAAAGAAGCCTCTGATATTATTTTGACTGATGACAACTTTAGTAGTATCGTAAAAGCCGTGATGTGGGGGCGTAATGTTTACGACAGTATAGCAAAGTTTTTGCAATTTCAGCTTACTGTTAACGTTGTTGCTGTTGTTGTAGCATTTATTGGTGCCTGTGCTGTTCAAGACAGTCCGTTGAAGGTTAGTTGTTGACATTATCGGAAAGACTCACATTACGTGTTGTTTTTTTAACAGGCTGTACAAATGTTGTGGGTCAACTTGATTATGGACACTTTGGCTTCACTCGCTTTAGCTACCGAACTTCCTACGAACGACCTCCTGCTCCGAAAACCTTACGGAAGGACAAAACCCTTGATTTCAAGGACGATGATGAAAAATATACTTGGACAAGCAGTTTATCAATTAACTGTAATATTTGCGCTTCTCTTTGTAGGTGAGTGTACTTTCGTTTCGGTTAGTGTCATCCTCTACTGCTCGTTTTTTTTTTTCTTCAGGCGATAAAATGTTAGATATTGAATCCGGACGTGGTGCGGACCTCAACGCGGGACCTACACAGCACTTCACTGTTATATTTAATTCGTTTGTTATGATGACTCTCTTCAATGAGTTCAACGCGAGAAAAATCCACGGCCAGCGTAACGTATTCGAAGGAATTTTCACCAATCCAATTTTCTATACAATATGGATTGGTACTTGCGTTGCGCAGGTACTACGTCGATCGTTTACTCCATCGTTCTTGGTTTAACTGTGTCGTTTTTAGATCGTTATCATTCAGTACGGCAAGATGGCGTTCTCTACACGTAGTTTGACTCTGGAGCAGTGGCTTTGGTGCCTTTTCTTCGGTCTGGGTACGTTACTTTGGGGACAACTAGTGACTACAGTTCCTACTCGAAAAATACCCAAGATTCTATCGTAAGTTGTAACGTTTGGTGTCTAGTTCTGGTCAAAACGAATATCTTTATTTGTAGTTGGGGCCGTGGCCATCCCGAAGAGTACACCGAAGCTATCGCGATCGGCGAAGAAAAGTTCGACGTCGATTCGGATAAGAAGCCTCGTGCTGGTCAGATTCTGTGGATCCGTGGTTTGACTAGGTTGCAAACGCAGGTAAGTACGAGCATTGTGTACATTGCGACATTTGCGATGTTACCACAGAATTTTAGCACAAGTGGGTAAGAAGCTGTCTTATTAACATGCGCTCAAAATACAGCATCTGCCCCACAAATGTGCTAAGCATTATGTAAATGAGTGATTGATGAACAGAGCTCAGTCATTTAGGATTTGATAGGTAGTCAGTCAGACCACATCAGATGAGGCTTCCTTCCTTCCCGTCCTCGTCCTAGTCCGACTCTGTGTTAGTCTATTGATAAGCATGGTGCATTGACATCTGACAATGTGTGTGCAATTGAATTAATGATGTGAGAGGGTGAACCATGGCCGCTGGGCCTCCAACTTTGAACTTAACAACACTGTTGATAATGTTGGCACAATTGACAACTACAAACAGGGTGTCTTAATTGAAACTCGATTTTGGCTCATCCGTGGGTGCGGACACCATTACGATTTTTATATTCAAATATCATATCAAGGCGAACAGCAAGCTGCAAGTTAACACAAAACTTTGTACTGACTCATATTTGACGTTTCTAACCACACTTTTTGTTACTTAACAAGTAGTAAATTTGACCCCTTGTCCTGAAACGTTGTTGTGATATTTTTACTTGTATATACGTCCATGAGTGTTTTTTGTGAACTTCGAATTGCCAAGCGGCGTGTGCTCAAAAATAAGCGATTCTGGCACAGAAACGGAAAAGTAAGGTTAGAATCGCCACTGCGATGAGTTTAATGTGACCCCTCCGTTCGATGGGTGACGTAAGTAGCGACGGTTTTTGCATGCTTTAACCGCCCGGATCGCTTATTTACGATCATACGTCGTACGTACGTACATCTAATGAAGATTAAATTATTTGCGGAAATTGCTAAAATTTGATGAGTCACTTTGTGTAATCTGTTAAATAATGGTCTCGAGTCGAGATGATTTCAAGTGGCACGACTCGAGATTGGCGTTTTGCTTTATTTTTCGAGAGGAATTCCGTCTCGTAGGGTTAAATGAGTCGGAAAGGAATATTTATTTGTGTTATTATTTATTTAGATCCGCGGCGTATTTGCTCTGTTCCCTTTATTAACTTTGAAGAACCCTGTTGTGAACATATCAATTATGAAATTTTTATTACTGAAACGAGAGAGTTGTCAAGTGGAAAGCCCTCGTTGTGTACAATGAGGAACGAGGGTTGGAACGATGAAATTGAAGGTGTCTTAACGAATGTGTTTCGGTCGTTTTGGTTTTCCTTAGTTTGTAGATCGGAGTTTTAAATAAAACACCTTGCATGTAAATCTAAATCCATGAATACGGTTGGATTCTGATAGGTATGTGTGTTGTTTTGCATTTTTCACTAAACACGTGTTTGTTCTTTTTTTTTGTGAAGCAAAAATTAATATGTTGTGTGTTCAGTGTTGGCAATTTTGAAGTTAAAGTTAACCCACCCACATCCTCATCTCGCTGCTTTAGTTGTCAGTGTTCCTTGTAGCATAGACATAATATGTATTTTTTAATACTGTTTGTTATTTTATTAGGAGATAAAGTGTCTTGCAAATGCGACAACTAAATTAATATGTTTGTGTTTTACTCAGTAGTTGATAATATGACAAACAAAAAACCTATATGGCAAGACTATTGATTGGCCAGCAGTGGATAAACACCCGTCCTCATCGAATGTCAGTTTTGTTTTATTTTTTTGAAAAGTTGGTGATATTTTAAATAGCATTTGCTTGAGTTTTATTATTAACACTACTTGTCCCGAAGTCGGGCATAACTATTATACCCCTATCCATCTTTGATCCAGGCATGCTTTCAGATCATCCAGCCAATAAACACTGCGGTGCATCAGCATCACGTAGTTAGCAAATCCCGCGGAACACGTAGCCTATAGCAATAGCGCAATTAGGATAGCAAAATAGTATGTGCATGTGAAATCGTCCACGTTCGTCCGTCTTTATCCGTGCCCGAGCCCCGAGTTGGCTGTGTTGTCTTTAAGGTTGCACCATGCCCCGCAATCGCCCACGGATCTCTCTCACAAATCCCGGTTCTGCCACTTGCTAGTTTTCTCACTCCCTTTTAAGTGTCTGTATTTATGTGGATGTTGCAAGCGGACTGCTTTCTAGTGAACTCAGTCTGACAATGAGCCCGAACAGAGTACCCTTAGATATGTCCGCGGCCACTCAAGCCAGACAAGCATATTTAGAACAGCACTGTACCTGTTAATGGGTATTTAACATGAATTTATTTATCAGCCGGCGGAACCCATGAGAGAAACTGAGGTATAGGAACGCTGTGGGTGTTTCAAGCAAATCCTGTCGCAGTACAAACAAGTACGTAGCTTGTAGTAGGCCTTTAGCTCATGCAATGACTGCGATGCGTTCGTTCTGCTGTGTTGCACTGTGGTGTTAGCTGTCTTATTAGAGCAACCCAACCTTGGATGTGGCCTTTCCTTGTAGTACGACGACGATTAATCAACGAAATGTTTTAAAATGGATCGATTCAAATCCTATATTGAGATTAATTAAAGTGTAATAGAATTTTCGAGGCCAGGGAGTGCTTCCTCCGCGACAACACAGCCACGTGGTCAAACAATACTCACTAATTCGGTACGAGGTCTGCGGTAGAGTCGCCGGGGGCGCGATGCGGTAGCAAATTGGTGCATCGTCGTTGATTCTCGCTTCGTTTTCGCGAGATCGATCGTTCGATTTGTTGTTGTTGTGTTCTTATGGTCTTGGTCGGCGCGTTACGTTACGTAGTTGCAGCATCCGTAGTCGAAGTCGGTGCTTACGCTGCGCTTACGCTTGACTGGGAGTTTGCGTGTCGCGCGGTAGGTTTAGTTCGCGGGATCGTCGTCGCTGTTTCATCAGTCTTTATATCATCAGATTCCTCTCTTTCTTCATTCTGTCTCTTCTGAGTCCTGCTATAGGAGTCGCTTTCGAGGACTCCTATAGTTATACAAGTACTACTAACTACTACTACTTACTACTATTTACTGCTACTACAACAACTACTACTACTACTAACAAGATTCGATTAAATTATCACCAGCGAAAGTAGTAAGAAAGGACGAGCGTGTCCGCTGTCGGGTCCCAGGTGAGAATGTAGATAAATCGAGGGTGAGCGTGAGCATGGTGTGTGTGTGCATGCAGATCCCGGCCTTATGAGTACCCTGCTTCCCTGTGTTTGCAGCTGCGAGTAATCCGAGCTTTCAAGTCCACCCTGGAGGATCTGGAGGAACGTCGCTCGGTACATAGTTTACACAGCTTACACAGTTTGCGCAGCTCGCGAAGCCACACCGGCCCTTGGCCGCCTCGTCCTCTCTCAGACATCACTTACATAGACGAGGACCCAACCGCCAACAAACTGTCGCCGCAACCTTCGAAGAACGAGCGCGACGACCACCGGCTGCTATCCCCAAACACCCTGAGGCTCCCGACCCACAATCCACAATACGCACACCTGGCCCCCTCCCCCGCGAACAACTCGGAGCTGCCCAAGCCCGTGCATGAGACTCGCATCTAGTGCCGGTCCTGGCCGCAGAGCCGCGGCGCGCACCGCATGCTCCGTGTCCGGTGTAGCTTGCCGCCGTAGCGTAGCCGCAACCGCAGCCGTAGCCGCAACCGCAGCCGCCTCTGCTCGCCACCGCTCTGCCACAGCTCTGCCTCTGCTCTGCGCCGTAGCCGCCTGACCGTTTCATCGTTCTCCGCTACTCTCCGTTCTGGATCCATCACCAGACCAGACACAGTACTATTTCTAGTAGATGTCGCCTTCCATTGTAGCCATACCCCGAAACCCTTGTTTTACCCCCGCCTCTCCTTCTATCGTTAGCTTAGCACTAAGTAGACTTTCTTACTTGACCAAATCTTGAGTATTTTGTATTATTTTGTACATAATATTTCGTCGTTCACTGTAGACTAGCTGTATGTATAGCATTTTAGATAGCCTTAGACCTCTCAGGTTAGTGGTAATGGAAACAAACATTTTATTTTTCAACTTGTTGAACGCATGCACACAACAACTGCGAGTCATCTGTATTGTGTGTCGACCGCCAACGACATGATCAGTGTTAATAATACACTAACGACTTAGCGAAAAAAAAAGAATAGGGGAAAATATAAAAAAATATCATGGCAAAATATATTTAAACAATTTTATACGCATATTCTATATTTACATATATATATATATCTTTATTATTATTTTTTTTACATTTTTTTTGATCATTGCATTCGGTCAGCAGGCCACATTACTTAATACTCAAATATTATATATTTTATAAGATGTTATATATTTCAGTGTATTAACATATTGCCTATTACTCTATTGATATGTAATTATGATAATGGTTCAATTTAACTGTTCATTTTTTACGTCGAATATAACGTTTTTTATAATATATAGCGATGTTTCTATGCTCTGTTCTTGATATTCGGCACTGGGCCACATGTAGATACACGTTTCGAGCAATCGTGTGTCTGTTGATTGTAACACTTTTATTTACAGCACAACGAACATGCGGAAGTCGTGCCGACGGCACTTCGCAGCGGACTTCCGCGTGCTCTTTTCAGGTAGCGGCGAAGGGCGGAGTGTCCACCACCACAAACAATCAAACAAACAAACAAAATAAATAACATATCGAGTAGAGATTCTATATTTTGACAGATTTCGTTCGTGATACATATATATAATATATATTAGATTAGATAGATAGACGGCCGGCGAAATAGTTGGACCGAACGAGACCGAGTCGGAGGTTCGTCCTTCGCCGGCGCCTGCCACTCTTCTCAGGTTACTAGTAGTATCTGATCTATCTTGTTCTGTGCACTATCTATTGTATGTGTCTGTCACTGTCTATCGAACCACTCTTAACGTTGCCCTTTACTCTTGAAGGTGATAGGTGGTGAATTGCAAGAACGTTTGATTCCGGTTCCGTACAGCAAGAGCTCCACTGACCAAGCTGTAAGCCGCTTTCCTACATCTTTCTGTCCGCTATGTTATCGTATGCCGCTGTTCGCTCTTGTTAGTTTGTGTTTGGCCACGCTTCCACTGCTTCCACATTGTGTAGAGGCACAAGCTTTCATTACCATGACTGATCTATGCTTGCCTCTGATCGTTTTATTTTTGCGATTTCACTTCGAGATATTATCGATTGATTCAGCGTTAACGCCCCTTATCAATATCGAAGCAGTGAAGTTTTTTAAACAATTATAATAACATATTAATATTGATTTTTTATGTAGAGTTTTTTCCGTATTTCTTTGTCTGTTGTTCGGTTTTAATATCTTTATAATTTTATTCGCATGTTGCATGTTGTTTTTTATACATTCGTTTTGTTTTATTTAGTTATATTAATTTACACCTAGTTCACAGATGCATAAGATCGCTCAAAACGACTGCTCGGCCGATTTTGATTTTGTTTTTGTTTTCGTTTTAATTTAATCGACATTACCCAGGTTATTATTATTCTTACCAACATTTATTATGAGCAGGTGTGTTAGTAGTAGCACCAGATAATTTTTGGCCAAGTACCGCATACGTAACTATTGGAAATGTTTTTTGCAAAAAACAACCCGTTTTGCTATTTTTTGAATATTTTGACGATTTGGTTTTTGATTGATTGATTGATTTATTGGTTTACTAACGACGTTTGCATTTTTCGAACGACGCATCATAGACTAGATCGCGATTGGTGCGATCGTTTTTGTTTTTGTGGCCTGTGATTGTGTCTAGTCGAATTTCTCGCGGCCGTCACTCAACTGATGGATAAATACAGTAATGAGAAAAAAAAAATTGAAGATTAAAATAGTGCTGTGTCATTTTATCTGTTGGCACTGCAAAACCGCCGTCGTGATACGTCCACTAGTTCTATGATGCCTGACGCTTTGTTTTTATAGGTTATTTGTTATTAACGGCCTCGTTGCATATAGAGATGACCTTGTTTGTTGAATTAATTGTAGAGGCTTCCATTTATTTATAATTGAAAATATTAAAAAAAAGTTGTTTTTCACTCAAATTACATATATTTGTTATTTATATTGTATTTTATAATGCCTAAAACAGACCAAGTGTACTTAGAAATGTTTTATATGGTAACATACTAACAAGCAGCTGTTTTCGATGCAAGATTTTTTTTATTTTCAATAAAATTAATAAACCTATCACAACTTTTATTTTGACAAACTGCTAGGTTGTGTTTAATTCGCCTTTATTTTATGTGTTTCTTTTAAATAATGTTTTTATAAAGTTTGTGTGTTTACTAATACCCACGTATACATACATACAGGTGGGGCAAAATCACGTAAGCAAAGTAACCAATATCTGGTAAAGACTGTATGTATTTGACTATTGTTATTCGTGTGTGTTCTTAAGTGGTGCTCAGACAATTTAAACTGTGTTGATTTGTGAAAATTTTGCAAGTTCTATGTTTAATCCTGATCACTCGGTATGACAAGATCCGACTGCTTGCTACCAGCGAATAAACGGGCGGTTGCGCTTTTACTTTGTGTGCGAGAAGGTCCCGAGCGAGGGTCGCACTTTGAAAGTATGCAGCGCAGACGACTGTTTGTTCTCCATATCAATGTTAATCATTTCAACTGGAGGCATCCAGACTCTAGCTTTATAGTCTGCAATCGAATCAGTAAATGTAAAGCTTAGACCTGCCTCGGAGTATCCAATTCACGGCATGTATGATGGCTCTACACAAATACATTTCGCTCTGGCAGTCCTGTCAGTTGAACTGCCTCCGATCACGTGTATGTATGCAGCCACAGCTACTCGTGTGGCATGTATATAAAAAAAAAAAAATTACTGCATGTTTGTCGATAACTGTTACTTCTGGTCGCGCGTCGGTTCTCGATTATTATAGTAAGAGAGACGACATCTGGGGTACTCCGATACAGATGAGTGTTTTATAGAGTTAGAGCAGAAAGGCGGTGCCTCGGCTGTCGTCTCGAGCAGCACCACTCACGTTGTTTTTTTTTTTTTTGTGTTTTGTTACGATTGTCACTATTACGTACAGGAACGTGGATACTTGGTGACTGTGCGAGCACACTATTTTTTGCAGAGATTGACAACAACTGCATGCCACGGATTAGAGAGACAGTTCTTGACTGTAAGTCAGTCAGTCAGTCAAGTTACGTGCAGATGATCACACACAACGAGAACCGACCGCAAGACTATTTGATGGCTCTGTATTGTTCTTTCGGCTGTGCTAACTGCTCGCCATTTTCCCCGGGAATGTTCTTATTTTAATTCTCCCTGTTTTGTTGTTTCTTGTTCATTTCAGATCCGAGTAGTTAATGCTTTCCGTCAGGGCCTAGATGCTCGGTACGGCGAACACAGCAATACTTCCCTTGCCGAGGTACTCCGCAAACAGACATCACTCTCTAAGAGGTTGTCTCAGACTTCTTCCATTGAGTATGCCGATAACATCCCAGATGAGTTGACGATCCCCGAAATAGACGTGGAGCGATTATCCTCACACAGCCACACAGAGACGGCTGTTTAGCTCCCAGCCCGCAACCTCTTCCTCGCGCCGCGCTCCCGTCCTGCCTGCTCTGCTCCGATTATCATAAACCAATTTAACCCTCGCCCACAGTCATCATTTCAATGACCGACCCCCTCAGCGACCCATGCCCCCTCGTTAGCCGCCGACACGAGCAGCAACCGGGTACTTCTCCAAAAACAAAAACAAAATCCACAAAAAAATTAAACAAAACGCCATCGCAATCGACCATCGAGCGCCAGCGACGACTGCCCGGCCAGACCGCCCACCGCTGGTAGCCACGCCATCACTCCGGGCTTCGGCCACACGACCGCGCAATTATATATAGTATATCTCTACCCATATAATTGCACTGCGTTGCATCGTTTGTTCGTTGAAATGTTGTTATCTAGTGGACATTGAGTGTCTCGTTTCGTTTTACTAAAGAATTAGAAGACAGGATCCGTGCTGGCGACATGGACTAAATTGATTAGCAATAAATGGGCGATCGTCAGTTCGCTCATAGCGATTTAATTAGGTGCCTAGGTGAGAGACTCGCGTCCAGTGGGACTCTCACGAGACGAGGACGTGCGTCGTTATCCGTCGTGCACTCTGACTGGGTCCGCCGCGTCGACCAGGAGATTGTCTGTCTGTATGTCTGTACAAAGCTCCTCGTGCACCGTCGCCGCGGCTCGGCCTTTGTCAGCCAAGGCTGCGCGCGCCCTCGTTCTTCTATCACGAGCCGCCGTCGCCGATCCGCTGGACTAGAAGCGCACACCGGCGTGGGCGACCCGTCCTTAACTTATTATTAAAAATGTAGGTATCAGATGTTGTCTGCCAAATGTTTGAGGGGAGGCAATAACCACACGTGCAGTTATTATAGATTAGTCTTTATAAATATGATAGTAGTACCGTTAGTCGAATTACTGCTTCTCCTCGCCTTCTTCTGTTGTAATCTAGGTCTAACTCTGACTTAGTTATGATGTAGATAGTCTAGCGGTGACACTAGATATACATTATTATACATATTTAAGAAAGAACCTGTACGAGGTACCACCTCGACCTCAGAGATTCGTTTGTTTTATACTTTATCTAAATGTACTTTGATTGGAAAAGAACAAAATGAAACAACCAGTACATTACTCTTACGTACGTAGTTAGTAAGCTGTGTATAATGGCGCGTCGGCATATCGAGCCGCGACCAAACGACCCCTCTAGTCGGCGACGGTACTTAGCTATGCGCATCGGCCTTAGTACTTCGGCCCCGGGGTTGCCGCCGGGGCCACCGTGTTCGGTCGGGTCACGTCGGATCGATCGTAATTATCACGTAGTCACGTTTCGGTCTTGGTTCGCTGCGACCGACGAGCTCGCGCACACATTTATACACTACTCCGTATCGGATCCATCGTCTTAGGTGTTCGTACAGAACGGCGTCGCGTCAAAGCGACGTCAGTGCATCGGGACGGCCCGCGGTGAATATGCGCACGTTCGCCCTTCGTCCTCGCGTCGACGTCTCCTTTGAACCCGCCGGTGCTCGACGGACATCGTCCGACACCCGCTCCGAGACCCCAGCGAGCGTTCACTTCCGACCGCCTCCACCATTCTAGTCAAGCAAATTTTTGTCGATTTCAGGCGGTCGGCGCACGGCCGTCCTCGGCTCCCGGAGCGGACGTCGTCCGGACGCGCTCTCCCACGTTGCTTCCGTGGTAGCGCGCGTTCCTATTACTATGTAATATAATTTTACTTATTATGTTATATCTATCTGTGGTTCGTCACGCCCTTGCCCATCAGACTCCATACACTTCTAGTTGATCAAACGAACCGCAATCATCATTATTACCATTATTATTACTTCGTTTGTTTTTGTAGTCTACACACTTTAATAAAATTATAAATCGAAGGGGTGTTAGTTATAGCCAGGTCTCGTGGCGCATGATGAGATCTTTTTACGGACACAGGCCAGAAGCAGTAGCAGTCGCAGATCAGATATTGATATATTAAAAAAAAATCATCATGATTATGCCGAATTTTGTCAACGTGGCATTTTAAGTTGAATGTTGTTATTTGTAATTTATAATGGTACAATTAAATCGTTATCATGTTATGGTTGTTATTTTATACGAACTCGCCTCTCGCGCTATCGCGCAAACTCGCGCCACTGGCAGGTCCGGTGGCTCAGGATCGAACTAAAGGTGGATCGGAGTACGGCCGTGACCATTCTACCTAATTAAGTTTTATTGTCTGTCTGTGCTTTTATTTATATAATAAAGGTATTTTGAGCTTTAAATTAAAGAGAGGTGAATAACATGCTGTTAAAGTGTTTTAATGATTCCATTTCAGGATCGCCTGTAAATTATTTTATTGTTGTGAAAGGCCTTTTTTATTACATTTGTTCTGTCAGATATTTTTCAAGTTCATATGAATGTTTGTTCTTCAACGTTGTAATATAATTTAAAGAATTTACAAAATGCTATGAATATTTTCATATTAAACATGAATTTTAAAATATAATCACGCATATATAAATTAACACTGAATTTTATTTAACAACCTCACCTCTCTGTTATTCGTGCTTTTTTATTATTTATTTACACACACACTTTTTTTATTAGCTTAGCCCTCGTATCTTTCAACTCCTCGTTAATCCAAAATTATACATTCTCGAAATTTTACGTAACAACTATTAATTAATGTACTCGAAAAAATTACCAACATTTCAACTATAAAACACAAAATAAGTTACAAAATACTAATATCTAGGATGTAAACTTAACTAACGGAAATGTATTTTAAATGTATATATATCTCTCACTGGGGATCCGGCGCACTATGTGCGAAGCCCAGTTTTTGGAGAGCAACCTTAATATCTTTGTAAACTGTTGGATCTTCTACAGTGCCCGAAATCTATAATAAAGTTATTGTTAATAAACTTAGTTTGATTGTTCACATCAACTCACCTTCACTTCCTTATCTCTCGCTAAATCACTTATAGATTTCCTGCACACTTTCCCCGACCGAGTGCGAGGCAGACCTCTCACGGCTGCCGCCATACGAAAAGCTGCAATCGGCCCCACCAACTCTCTCACCATTCTCAACAAATCGCGCGTTATCGTAGCCTCCGTCTTCCTAGCATCTAAAAAAACTATAAACAAACGACAAAAACCTCCCCCCTTCATACTTTTCCTAATGACGTATAAGCACAGCGGAATCTCGCCCTTGGTGGATTCCGGCACGCCCACAACTGTGGCGTCAGCGACATCTGGGTGAGATAAAACCACGTCCTCGAGAGCGGAGGTGGAAATTCTGTGACCTGCCACGTTGATCACGTCGTCGTCCCTAGCCGTGACGTAGATATATCCGTACTCGTCTCTATACCCGGCGTCCATGGTATCGTAGTAGCCCTATCAGAAAACTCTCGTTGCTGCGACTGCGCCAAAAACGAAACCACCTACCCGATACTTGCTGAAGTACACTTGACAGAACCTCTCCGGAGACTGGTAAAGGGTGGACATGGTCCCTGGGGGTAGGGGTAGCTTGACTACGATCCGACCCAGCTCGTGACAAGGCGCCTCGCTGCCGTCGACCCCCAAAACCCGGATGTCGTAGCCCGGGAACGGCATCCCCGTGGTGTATTTCGGGGGACTGAGGTTGTGACCCAGACCGATACAAGTGGCGGTTATGGCGTGACCCGTTTCGGTTTGCCACCAGTGGTTCAACACCGGCACGTTGAAGGTTTTCTCAGCCCAGGATTTAGTTTCATAGTCGCAGTGTTCCCCGGCCACGAAAATCGACCTCAAGGTACCCACCGGGTACTTCCGTCCGAACTCGTTTTCGGGATCTTCGCGGTGGATGACGCGGAACGCGGTAGGGACGGTAAAGATCGCGTTGACTTTATAATCGCTGATGATCCTGCGTTTCAAAGTTAGACGAGTCTTACGAATGTAAAATGCGCACCTGAAATATTGTCCCGGGTCTGGGGTACGGTCCGGTTTGCCTTCGTACATCACGCTGGTGATTCCGTATAGTAGAGGCCCGTAACAAATGTAGGAGTGTCCCACCACCCAGCCTAAGTCACTAGCCGCCCACCAGACGTCGTTGGGTCCCATTCCGTAAAGGTTACTCATGGTCCAGGTGAGGGTCGCGATGTGTCCACCCACAGGACGTTGAATCCCCTTCGGCATGTCTAAAATTGGGGTTTTAATTAATAGCATTGGTATTACTATTGTTGACCTGTTGTCCCCGACGTGTATAGGATATACAGGGGGTCGTTAGCATCCACGGGGACACAATCGTGTGGTCCGGCCATTTTCAAAGCGTCTTCCCACAAAATGTCCATTTCGACGTCGATATGCGCGGATTCGATGTTACGTCTTTGATAGATAATGCATTTGTTGGGTTTGTGCGACGACCATTCAATAGCGTCATTAAGGATGTCTTTGTAACTATAGTGGAAAAATTAATAGGAGTTTGAGACAGTCGGTTGTCTTACCGGACGACTTTATTCGGTTCTATTCCGCAACTGGCCGCTATTACTACTTTGGGCTCGGCGTGAACAATCCTCGAGCAGAGCTCTCGTGCGGCGAAGCCTGCAAAAGTGTTGGTAGATTAAGGGACAACAGAGTGATAACCGACCTCCGAAAACCACGGAATGAACGGCCCCTAGTCTGGCAGTGGCGAGCATTGCGATTACACATTCAGGGATCAGTGGCATGTAGATGACCACTCTGTCCCCTTTGGATACCCCTAGTTTGGCTAAAGCTCCAGCTAAATGAGACACTTGATCGAGAAGTTCCGCGTAGGTTATTTTCCTTACGCTGTTGGTTAACGGGCTGTCGTGGATTAACGCGACTTTGGAACCTTTCCCGGCTTCTACGTGGCGGTCGACGGCGTTGTAGCAAGCGTTTATTTCTCCACCGACAAACCTAAATAAAACAAATCGATCTTTAAGTCCGACAATCGACGTAGGCGTTGAAGCATACCATTTCGTAAAAGGCGAATGCGAATTGTCTAAGACTCTGTCCCATGGTTTTGTCCAATGGACTAGTTTTCCCACTTCTGACCAAAATTCCTCAGGACAGCTGATCGATTTTTTATACAACTCTTCATACTTTTTGCTATAGTAAGGGTTTTCTTTTTTTATGATATCTGTAAGGTCAAGGAGAAAATTTCAATACTGCATTAATTTCAATTGTTGTTATTAATGAGTTACATGGGAACGGAGACGACGAAAAATAAACGCCCAGCAACAGCAGGGCATATACATATTAGAAAATTTGGAGAAAGTGGTCTTAGAAACCATTAACGAAAGGATTATTCGTAGGCAAATTTCTTGTGTCAAACTGACTGTTACTTAAGTCGTAAGTCGGGTTATAAGTCGCACAGCGCAAAGCTAGCTTAAGCCCTGTCATGCACTTAGCACACAATTAAATGAATTGTTTTGTATGGTGTGCATAGATTGTTTTTACACCATTTGTCAAAAAGACGTACTTGCTTCATCACAGTGGTTTTCGTATTTGGCACTTTTCATCAATGTGGTTATTTCACCAACACTTCCGTCAATCATGGTAGTTTTTAACTTTGTTTGGAAAATACACGCACTTTACACCGTTAACTATACAGTATTGAACAATCGACATTAATAACATATCGATAGGTAATGTCTTGTATATATTAGCTTTGATTAACCCCCACTTTTGTCAAAATAAATGAAAACATAACGTTCAGTTAATATTTTTAGTCAAAATTGCGTCAAATGAATTGTTATTACGGCCTTGGTCAAATTCTAATTGCCAAATCGAGTTTGAAATGACGGCAGGATTAAAAATCGAGATTTTAAGTACAGATTTCAAAGTATTATTAAGCGAGTATTGTTATACAAGCTATTAGGATCGAATTAGTAGTTTCATCTGTACGTGTGAATTAATTAGTAAATTCATAATGAATTAATCTATATTAAATAAAATAAAATCAGCGCCTCTGGTGGCAATTTTTGCTATGAACTTGTTTGTTTTCGAGAATTTGTTCGATATCTCTTCTTTGTTGCTACGCGACGGCACAAAACTTGATGGGTCATTTTAACATGGGTCCACGCTGGTCCGGCGCATCCACCATTAATGTCTTGTCATATCAACAGATCCAACGAATTTATTTTTTGCTGTAACGATATTAACGGCTTATTTTTGCTTTTCTAGTCCTCGACGGAGGTGTTTCAAGAGCAACTGGGAACAAAATAATCGCAATCTTTTGATGATTCCAGTTTTTATTCATCAAAGTAAGTATCCCCAGCTTCGACGGTTCCCTCCACGGTCGAATTTTATGTTTGTGACAAGGATGCTGAGTGGTTTCTTTTGTTGTTCAGATATTGTGGAGAAGTTGAAGTACAGTTCCAATATTAGAATGAGTTATGAAAAAATGAAATTTTAATTGTATTTTTGAAACACGTCACATGTGTGATTTCAATATGATCTTCACGTTTATTGCAAAGAAAGTTTGTTGTGTTTTTGTTCTACTGAGATTTATGATGTATGTAATAATAAAGAGTTTTTAGAAATATGGTGTTTTTTTTACCTAGTTACACAGAATGTGGCTTCCAAGGAAGATTAATTGACGACGACTCGACTCTCATAAACGAAATAATTTCTGGATTTTTTTGTGTTGTTGTTAAGAAACATTTTACGCTTATGAGGAAGATTATGCAACATTGTAAATGAATTAATAGCCCAATTGACGCATTGTTCGTCAGGACGTCTACGTAGCGATCTCTTTAAAATTCAGTTAGAAAAAATTAGAATATTAAAAATAGTATCAGCGTCGATTTCTTAAATTTTGACTTATGAACTATCAAAATTTACATTTTCACTTATATTTCGCAGAATTTTGAGTCGTCTGGAAACCTAGATTTCACCTTAAAATGCTACGAAATATGTGCATTAAGTAAATGCAAATTTGTTAACTAAGACGTAATATGGGTATGACCCAAGTCGATAATATGGAAGTTGGTGGAAAGTTTACCATGACTTTATAGACAATTTACATATATCCCTTTTGACCCAAACTCCAAGGATATAATATTAATCTACTAACATGAAACTGGAATAATGTGATTTCTATTGACACGAAATTTCATTAAAGAAATTTTGAACTACGTGTCGCAAATCCAGATTGGCAATTTTGGAAAGAATAGCGAAAGTGGGTCTTGAGAAAACCACCGTTTCCTGCTATGCTCTTCTTAATTAACTTATTCCCAATTACTACTTATACATTTATAAAATTTTGAGTTCTTTTTTGGTTTAACGGAAATCAGAGTAATTTTTTGCGCCTTAGATTGAGGCGTGGACGTAATTTTGGGCTACCTGTCAGCGTACGCTGTTAATTCAGAAAGGTTGGGCCAGTGGCCGTGACCCAGTGACGCTTATTACACTGGAAAATCGTTGAGCATGTATTTTTAAAATGCTTAAAGATCGAAGTACACAAGTGAAAGCTGTGATGGGGTGAGACGGTGGAAGAATGCTTATAAATATCGCGAGCAAATTGAGGTCGTAAAAAGGATTATTGGCAATAAAGCATGAAACCTGAGAAAACGGAAAATATATGAATAGGGATAAGCTATGGTTTCAGTTTTTTTGTTTGTTTGTTTCTTCTACGACTTTTGTTATGGCATATTGAGAGCGAGAGTTATCAGAATAAACATGTTTAGACGTTTGTCCTCATCTTCCGCCCACGCACATGATTAAATTGTGGATTGGTTTGGGCGCATATTTTCGAATATTTTCATTGTGAGCAAGGTTTGTATATTTTTTGAGGAACAATGTTTCTTTAATATGGTAGGTAAAGTAAACGCTGTCAGAAGTGTGAGCTAATTGAGTGTATTATTGTTACCAGATAATAATTTGGTCGTGTTATTATTTACTCCCACTTAATGTCACGGCTGTTCGCGAAGGCAGTGCATTTAAGAGTAATTCCAGTAAAACGTTATGATAAAATAAATCAACCTGTAGCTCCTGTCATGAACATATGGATCTTATCTAACTAGATAATGGCCGCACAATGAAAATTTGTTTGTTTTAGCTACCACTCTCAAAATTATACTAACGTTCATACTTATACAATGAACGTGTTTGAAGTTTTGAATCATTTTCCGGCCTTTGTACTTTCATGCAAATATCTTCATTGTTCTTGACCCCGACTTCTTCAACTTCGAACATCTTCGGCTGTTTGTGATCAATTTTTACTTGCATTGTTCGCGCTAAATTGCCCATATTTTAATCCCTGTGCGTTTCAACATTGACGCATTTTGTAAAAAAGAAGGAATTCAAATATGGTGTAAATCTGCCTTGAATACTAAATAAAGGGATCAACCTGCGAGCATCTGTACGTCTATTAGTAAATAATTGTTGTTTATCGCTTAGAGAGTTCAATTAAGTATTCGAAGCGAGACTTTGTATTATTTAAATTGGCCCTACCGCTTCGATTCTTTACGTCAGGACTCTAACCTTGCAAGCTTAATTGTTCTTTCGATGCAGTTTCCGGATTCATTCGGCCCTACGCACTAGGAAAAAGCGAAAATTGCCTTACAACGCGTGTGCGTTAACTTCTAAACCGATCAGTGGAATTTAGAACTGCTATAACCCGTATAGTTGAAAAAGGAGTTAAAGTGACGTTAAAATGACGTAAATGTCACGGGTTTTTAAATGGCGACGTGTCATGTGACAACTCAATTTAACCTAAAAATATCATCGACAGTATTAAAATTAAAAAATCTCGAGTAGAATATGCAATTATGAAAATAAACCTTCCCATTATAAAAACAGGGAGAAACACAAATAAATTCCACCAAATTATTATTGCTTATATATCGTTAAAATAAACGGCGCTTTTTAAGTAAACTGTCATCATAGTTTGGTCATACATTTTTTATTCTAACGATTTTAGCAGGAACAGTAAAATATTTATGATGGTGCTTCTGTAAACTTATCGTTCATGTTTGATTATTTGGTTTTTCGACTTCGGAATTCTTGTCTCTGGTTTCTTTTTTTAGTAGGTTTTGTGATTTGTCATTTTTGTACGTAATTTTTCAAAAGTAGTTGCAACAACTATTTTAAAGTAAATGTTATAGATGGACGTAGTTGTGATTGGACAAAAGCATAGTTTTTTCGTTGTGCTATTTTAATTACTTACGATAGTGATACTATACAAACATTTGTTTATTCACTTAAGTAGCATGTGTAAAGGCGCAAGTCAAATATGATAACCATTAAAGTGATTTACAATCTCTAAATAACAATTAACAGCAAAGTGATTTATAGCACCAAAACTGTGTGAAGAGTGGAAAAGCGTTTTTTGTGTTTCGTTTTAACGATCATTTTCAGGAATTATGGCCATTTTTCTATTTTACGCATTCTAAAATTGCTCTGATGGAGACATTCGGACTATTTTAGAAAATCTCTAACAATTTAAAAAATGTCGTCATTTACTTCTAACACTAACCAAAAATTTTTCTGATCATTTCCGCTTAAAATTTGGTGACATGATCTCAAAATTTTGCAAAATTCTTCGTTTTTTGTCGTATTTTTTGTACTTTTTCACAGAATCAAACTAACATATATCTCAGGCTATTTTTCAAATGGATTTTTACTTCCCAAGCGTAAGCGAAGGAAGTATAGTAATCGAGTCCATCGGCCGAATTGCCACTTTTATATTTTCTAGACGTTTCATGACTCCTGCAGCACGAAGAAAGTAATTTCCCGTTTCCGTCTGTCTGTCTGTCTGTCTGTCTGTCTGTCTGTCTGGTGTCTATCCATGTTTATTAGACAAGTAATCTTCGAAACTACTGAACCGATTGTTGTCAAATTTTGTATGTGTATTGGGAATACCATGTAGATGGTTAAATGCTAACTAAAATTTGGTTAATCGTCCTCACCACCAATGGGATGACGTCATCTCCAAAATTTATAATAAAAAGCTTTTTGAAATTTTATGAAATAAGATACTCCTGCACTTGTGATTCATGAATCCTTGACATCCAGAATTTTTGGAAACAATTCAGAACTAACAATATTTTGTAATATAACTTTGAAATTGCAAAACTGCAAAAATCAGAAAATTAAAAAATCTGCACTTTTGCACTTTTTTTTATAATTTTCGTTTCTTCAATCTTTCAAATTTTATAATATTTCATTTTTCATTTTTGATTTTAACAATTTTAAAATTTTGCAATTATTTTTTCATTTTTTTTTTTATTCGAAAAGTTGAAAATTCGAAAAATAGAAAAATTAAAAATTGAGAAACTAAAAACCGGAAATAACTGAAAAATTGAAAAATTGAGAAAACCAAAAATTGCAAAATTAAAAAGTGGAAAATCGAAAAGCCAAGAACTGAAGAAACGATGAATTGAAACATCGAAAGATTGAAAAAAATCAATGAATCGAAAAATTGGAAAACCTAAAAATTGTAAAATCGAAAAATTATACTAATAGAATCATCAAAACTGTAGTCGAAAAATTGAAAAACCAATATCGACGAACTGAAAAATCGAATAAATGAAAAGGTTTTTAAATTCAGTAATTGAAAAATAAGAAAATTTTAAAATCGTAAAATTGAAAAAGAGAAAAATAAAAAAAATTACAATTACATTTT